CTCCCTCATATGTGGACATTAGATCAAGGGCAAACACAATAAGGGGATTGGACTTGGAGCACATGATAAAAGCAAGAGCACACAAGGGAGGGCTGAGTATAGGTAAGACACCTAAAAATTAGCTAGCATTTGTTGCCCTTAATGCAGAGAAACTAAAGCAGATACCTTAAAAGCAACTGAGGCCAACAGGAAAAGGGGACCAGGAACTAGAGAAAAGGTTAGATCAAAAAGAATTAACCTAGAAGGTAACACACACACACAGAAAATTAATGTGAGTCAACTCCCTGAATAGCTATCCTTATCTCAACCAGCAAAAACACTTGTTCCTTCCTATTATTGCTTATACTCTCTCTTCAACAAAATTAGAGATAAGGGCAAAATAGTTTCTGCTGGGTATTGAGGGGGTGGGGGGCAGAGGGAGGGGGTGGAGTGGGTGGTAAGGGAGGGGGTGGGTGCAGGGGCAAGAAATGACCCAAGCCTTGTATGCACATATGAATAACAAAACAATAAAAAGAAAAAGAAAGACAAAGAAAATGAGGAACAATCGGAAAGGAAATTAAAATGTATGATGCTAAATATTTAGTTCTAAGGTGAGTTGCATTTTCATATTAATTGAAAAAAAAAAGTGAGGCTCCTTTACAATTTGTGACTAGCCTGTCAGCTCTCATGTTTCCATAGACCTTGCTGGGACTCCTTGTCTTCATTCTCCCAAGTTCTAGCTCTCTGATCTCCAGAAATCTCACAGTAAGAAAGGGGAGCATAGTGTAGCATAGTGGGCCAGGTGATCTGGGGAGGAGGAGGCAAGTTCTTGGAGATGGAGAAAGGTGTGGTGAGTGGCTATAAGATAGCAAAGACTGAGGACAAGAAGAAAAGGTTGGCTTCTGTAGAACACTCTCAGTTGGAATGGACATCATCACCTAGAAGAGTTCCTCAACTGTGCCCAGAAAGAAAGCATAATACAAAAGGAAGAACTTGCACTTCCAGAAAGCTTTCCTCTGGAGGTTCTGATTCAGAGTCTAAGGAAGGATTAATGGAATCTGTATGTTTCTGTTTAACAACTGATTTCATGCTAGGTACACTACAACTTGCCTAAAAATAATGATAAAGAACTTCCAGAATTATGTTTAGTATACAATTAACTCAATCCAGAGTTCATGAAATATTGGAATGCCTGGAGGTAGAACAACAGAATTATACGAGAACTTTTGCAGGGAGCATAGAAAAAATGGTAAGTAAAATTCCAAAATATCTTAATTTTGGTCTTTATGAGAGCATTAAGTGCACTCTAAGTAGTTGTGCAGATTTCTAAGAGTCACGGCATGATTAATGAGTGAGAACAGTACTCTCAACCAAAGCTTTAGTAAAGGAACTGGGGCCAGGTAGTAAAGGAACTGGGGCCAGGCATGGTATCTCACACCTGTAATCCCTACTACTTGGAAGGTGGAGATTGGGAAAATTGAGGTTTGAGGCCAGCCCAGGCAAAAAAAGTCAGTCAGATCCCATCTCAACCAATAAAAATCTGTCATTTCAACTACATTCCAGAAGTGCACATAGTGGGGAATCATGGTCCAGGCCTCCCTGGGCGTAAAAGGGAGACCCTATTGAGGGTGGAGTTAATGAAAGTAAAAAGGGCTGAAGGCATGACTCAAGTGGTAGAGCATCTACCTGGCAAGAGCTGGGGAAGGAGACATGTCACGGGCTGCCACCTTGTGGCAGATTGTGTAATTAATGATGATAGGTGGAAGACGAAGAACCTGGGTCCTTTTAACAGATATTAATAGTAACTTGGGAAATTGCCTACTTTACTATCTTCTTAAACAAGGGATTATTACTATTTTACTGCAATTATAAGGTTGAGATAAGCAATAAGAGCTTTAAAAGAAAAGTGAAATCAAATGTTAAGTACTCTTTTAGCATTGCTAATGTTGTTCTATCTTTTAAGTGAGAGGAAAACTTAATTGTCCTAGGGTTATTTGTTCATCTCTTGACTAAGATGAAGAACAGGTAATGGCTGCTCAGAAATGGAGAATGTGGTCAATGAGAGAGATCGCTATCATTTTTCACGTCATCTATTCCATGTTTACAATTCTCTAGCACTACCTTCAAATCAGGACAAGCTACTGTGAGGATGTCAGTGTCACTGAGGCTTTTAGTAAAGGCTGATAAAAGTTTAATCTCACCAGTATCTGGAGAATTCAGTTACCTATTCTGATGGTTAGTTTTCTGTATTAACTTGAGTGGATCATAGTGCCCAGACATTTGCCCAAATATTATTCTGGATGTTTCTGAGGTGTTCTTGGGATTAGATTAATACTTACATGGTGGTATAAAGCAGATTGCCTCCTGTAAGGGAACTAGGCCTCATCAAATCAGTTGAAGACCTTAATAGAACAACAATGGATACCCTTTCCTTCCTGAGAAGAAATTTTGAGAGCAAACTCCTTTTGGCCTCCAATTGCAACTCTTCCCTGGGTCACCAGTCTGCCAGCCTACCTGAAAAATGTGAACTTATCTAACCACTACAATTTCACAATCCAATTTCTCAGTCTCTCCCTTTTCTCCTTCTTCCTCATTACACATATCACACACACACACACACACACACACACACACTGTTGGTTTTCTTCCCTAGAGAAACTTGAGACCTGTAAAGGAGATGACTAGTTGTGACTTCTGAAAACAATAATCTCACCAATAGCTGGAGAGTGTGATTATCTATGTGGTGAGAATTGTAAATTTCTAGGAAGGTCTTATTTCCTAGCTTCTTCTCTAGCACACTGAAGTGAGGGTTGAAGTTGACGGTGACCTAACTCAGTTCATCTGGTTCCATTTCCCTGAGATTCTCTTGGTTCTGACCACCCCTGTGTGTTGGCTCCATTCTTAAGAATGGTAGCAAGAAGGCTCCACAGTTTCAGATGTCATACAAGTAATATTTTCCAGAAGAAAACTGCTCAGTCCTAACATCCTAAGAGATTCACCAGATTAAACTGTCCATTGCTGAGATTAGGATTTTGGCTTGGGTAATAGAACTTATTATTTATATTAAGACAATCTTTGGAGCTTCCCCAAGACATAACCAAGAGGGCTAAGTGGATACATGAATAAAATCCTGGTTCTATTCTGAACCAAAAGGTGAGGGAAGGGGAATGGATACTGGGAAGGGAACCAATTATGCCACTGGACACCTAGTATAGGTGATTAATTTTTCACAATACAATACACAGTCAAATGAAATGCAACCGGTACTAGGTAACTGACAAGGAATATCAGGAATAATGATAACTACAAAAACATGACTCATGAATAAAAGAGGAAGGTGCTACTCTTCTCTAAGTAATGTGACCATACAAGGACATAATCTTGATGTTGCTGGATTGTCAACATTTTTGAGAGAAGTTGATAAGATTTTTATGTAAAATATCTGTGTTTTAAATGTTAGTAACAAAGTCAGTTTCTATTCTTGTTTTTCACCATTCAGGATAGCTAATACTATCCAAAAAACAAAGTACATGTCTGTTGGCAAAATGCAGCCTGGGAACTTCTAATTTATAAACTTAGAGGTATAAGAACCATTGCTTACTAAGCAGTGGTTTTTGTGGATACAATGCTTGCCAAAAGTAGAATAGTTGAAAGAGGAAGATCAGAGAATGAGCCTTATTGCCTCTTCCGATGCATTTCAACAAGTGGGTTATCATACAGTTCTCAGATTTCTGCATCACCAAATGGAATGTGAAGTCAGTTTATAGATAATTAATTTTTTCTGGGAGAGGCAAGTTATTCTGGTACCAAGCACCATGAAAATTTGTTTTCTCATTACTTCATGTGCAGGTAAGAACTCGTAGGTACAGGGACACATCAAAGTCCTCACACTACTACAAATCCAGTGTGGATTAAGTTTGCTTTTCTCCAAACATGCCTACATTTCATTGCTTTTTAAAGGTACAGCCATCATTCTTCTATTTCTGGACTTGTATCTGATGTCATTAGGCAGTTTTTCACAGTTTTGGGAGGCATATAGCTTTTTACTGATGGGTTGGATTGATCATCTTATCATTACACATTTAGTTTAACTAAATGGGAAATAGTTTATTGTTAACTAAAAGATCAATGGTTGATTAGCTTAAAATAGACTAATATTGAACTCAGAGACACCTAATTAATTTGCGCTTCTCTTTTCCCTGGTCAATTTCTTGTTCCCACAAAGCACCAGAGCAGCAGTTGTCAATCCTGTTCGCATGTTAGAATTTAGATGGTGGAGACAGGTGGGAGGAGGGCTTTTAAAACGGAGGGGATGAATTGAATCGGCGTACATTATATGTATATATGGAAATGTCACAACAAAATTCTCTGCACAACTATTATAAACTATTAAAAATGTTTTTAAGTGTTTTTGTCCAGGCCCAGTCCTAGAGGAATTAAAACTTCCCAGATGATTCTAAATTTGTAGAGTACTAAATACCGGTTTCCCGTAAAAAATATCTACAAGACTTGAAATCCATTAAATCCCTGATTTTCTCCAAAAGTCGACCTCAGCACCAAAGGGTTCTAACATTTTCCTGAGGCATCAGCTTTAGCGCCCGCCTACCGGAGATTGACAAGACCATTAGCCAGTCGGCAATCTGTACGTTTCGGTACGGTATAACTAGTAACGGGCTACACAACAAAACGCTTTATCGTTGCAAAACCACTTCGCAGTAGAACTGGGCAAGTTATCTTACTGCTTGAGCCACTCCACCAGCCCTGGCCAAGTTATCAAAAGACAAATGTCTCTCGGTCCGGCGTCTGTGAGGCTCGGGTACTCCGAGAGGTCTTAAGTCTGTAGAAGCTCCTGCTTCTCCGAAGTGTGGCTGTTACTTACGCAGGACGGCCTGCTCGCCTCGCGTCACTTCCGCCCGGCTACAGATCACGGTCTATCAGGCGGAGCTGAAGCAACTTCCGTTCTTCGTACCCTTCTTCCTCTCCTAGACCCCGCCCTCCGGAAGTTGATTCCTTCTTTGCGGCGGGTCAGAGGTGAGGAATGGGAGGCCTAAGCCGGCCTAGGTGAATAACTGACGCGAGTTGTGCTCCCCCGCTGTGCCAGTCGGAAGAACCAGGTTAGACTGAGGCTTAAGGTACTGCAAGGCAGTGCGTGCCCCGAGGACTCTCCTCCCTCCCCGGCTCTGGGGCTCCATCTCCCGGCCTGAAGTTAGGCACGCCGGAGGCGGGGGTCTTTGGCCCCTTTGAGCCGAATTGCGGCTCTTGCTCTGCTCCGGTCTCCTGTCTTTACAGGCGCGGTTCGACCGGGTTTGCTGCCATCGACCTGCGCTCCTCCTGCAGCCTGCAAGGCTCGGCGATGGCACGGCTGCTTCCTGAAGCTGCAAAAGTGCTTTAGCCCCCATTCCGCCTGCTCTTGAGCTCCGACACCCCGGGAATCAGGTAGGGGGGACGAGAAATGCATTTATTCTCGGCTGTACTAATGAGGAAACAGAAGATTAGGCGAACTCGCTCATAAGACCTCGTAACTGGGGTTCACACCCAGGGATGACTTCTCCAGGGTTGCCACCCGCCCCGCCCCGCTCCAGTAGGGCGAGAGCATTTAGGAATATGGAAGGAACTGCAAACATTACAGGGAGAGCTGTTTAGCGAGCATTATGTCAAGTCCTTTTTTACTGAATCAAACATTTCTTACCCATTTTGCTTTGCTCCGAATCGGGGAAGGTAAGAAATGCCTATTCCAGTATTCATGACAGATAAACAGCTTTAGAGTTAGCCTCTGTCGTAATCAAACTATTTGGGCATTTCAAGAAGTGAAGTTCCTGCAATTTATTCATAGCCTCTTTGCCCTTTCATTGCCTTAGTTCTTATTAACACCTTATTTAAAAATCTACAGTGGTGTCAATTCAGCTGTGATTCTCACTCCACGGTTTAGTTTTTTTCTTTCTGAAGGGGAGTTTGGGGAGAGTATTGCTTGATGTGGAATTAATGGACCCAGGTTAAAGGGTTGGCCAGAAATATTTGTAGTTCTTTTATCGTAGATGGTTTCTCTTTATTTTTGTTCTCCTTGGATATCCTATCTCAGTTTCTGCTTTTTTTTTCCCCCTCCCCTTCAGAAAAAGCACTATCATCTTATGCCAAAATGTCAGGGATTGGAAATAAAAGAGCAGCTGGAGAGCCTGGCACATCCGTGCCTCCAGAGAAGAAGACAGCTGTTGAAGATTCAGGGACCACCGTGGAAACAATTAAGCTAGGGGGCGTCTCTTCAACGGTATGAGGAAGCAGTGCTGTGAAAGTGAACTTTTGTTCTGTCAGTTGCCTGAAAGTAAAAATTTTTAAAGCCTTCTGGAGTAAGGGGAAACCATTTGAAAAGAAGTGGGAAATAAAACAGGTGGAAGTAGGTGAAATGTAGTGGGAGTTCTGGAAAATAGGTATATTGACATTTGATCTTTGTTCTCAAGGTTGGTGCCTGACACAGCTTTGTGTACAGTTATTTAGTGATGGAAATATGAATATAGTAAGCCTCTTTATTTGCAGATTTATTACATGTAGTTTTGACCAGGTGTGGTAAAAAAAAATTAATGAATTAAAAATCAAAAGAAATTTTGGAAACAAAAATTTTAAGTTCTTTCACACTCAATACACAGCTTAGTTGATGTAGAGAAGGTTATAGTCAGTCCCCTGTTACTGCAAGTTGTGTTTAAATTGTTCTGTGATCTGCTGAGTGTTTCCCTGCCCTTAATGTTGTGAAAACACACCTCACAAAAAGCAAATGGTGCCTTAAAAAAGCGTGGTAAAAGTTAATGTGCTTAATTTAAGTGATACAGTGAAAATTTTAGCATTGTTGAAAGGCAGTATTAGGGGAAAAATGAATCAAGCATCCCCAGTACAGTACTGAACTCCATGCCCACTGAGCATCTGTGGTGCTTTCCTCTCCTGGGAGCCATACACTCGTGGTTACAAAGGGTCTACTGTGCGTTTTTCATTCACTGAAAATTTTGATGTCAAGTTCTAAGAAACAGTATAGCCAAATTGTTGAGAGTGTCATGAAGAGTGAGAGTCAGAGACCATACTGCTGGGGAATTATTGTCAGCTGCATCTCTTCCTAGCTCTATGGCCTTGTGCTATCCTTCCTTTGCCTCTGTTTCCTTGTCTGTGAAATGAATATATAGTAGCTATCACATTGGGTTATCATGAGAATAAAATGAGAGTCCCTGTTAAGAATGAAAACATTACTTTTGACATAGTAAGTACTCATAAAAGTGAGCCATCAACAATTATTATTGGATTCCATAACATAATAGTTAACAAAATTGGCATTATCCTTTTATGGAGTAAAGGTAAATGTTCATAGTGATCTTATATATCATATAGACATTGGGAACTTAAGAGTTTTTAATCTAGATCAAGATTCATGGGAATGCCATCTTTCAATGCTTTCCATTTGTTTTACTTCTTTATTTTGAGGCTGAGGTTCAGAGAGGTTGATTTTTTTTGTTGTTGTTATTCCTATTTTGTCCAAATAGGAACATTCATAGTAAATTGTTGATGAACTGTCATTTCTGGACTGTCTGGGATTCTAGTACTCCATATAGCTGCCAGAAGGTGATTTTTAACTTACCACCGCCTCACATCATGCACCCCAAAAGCTTTTATTCAAATACACAAATACAGTTATTTGTTGAGCATCTGTTATTTCCTGGGAACTGTGCTTCTAAAGATAACCTTTGGAGTTCAGTTTGTAGTGTGGCACTGACCCAGGAATAGACCGTTAGAATGGAGTGTGATATATGCCACTGATAGGCACACATCCTAGCTTGGACTTTATCCAGAGTGCAGAAGAAGCCATTGGAGGGTCTTGTAGGAGAGTAATATGTTCTCATTTACATTTGGAGAATAGACTATATAAAAGCAAGGGTATAACAAGAATCTAGTTAGCAAAAGGTTCCCTTGCTCTTTCTCACTCTCTCCTCCCTACAGCTCCATCTCTCCAAAGAGGTTCCTATTCCTGCCATATTTGATTGAAGGTTATTCTTATAAAGACAGTAACTCCATCTGTGCATTTTGAAGTTGCTATAGCAAGCCAGCTGAGATTTGGGGGACAGAAAAAATGAGATTCCAAAGTATGAAGTGGAAGCACTTGGCAGTAGGAATGGAGCTGTCCAACACAGCCATTCTGAAATCTGGCAGGCCTTCTGAACATGACACAGAAGTATTTGCTACAGGAGGCCTTTGTAGTAGTTCTAATGAGGGATCATGGTGGTATGAACCACTGTGGAAGTAGCATTGACAGGATTTGTTGACAGATTAGATGACACATAGGAAAATTGGAGGCCTTTGTAGTAGTTCTAATGAGGGATCATAGTGGTATGAACCACTGTGGAAGTAGTGATTTTGGAATTAATCAAGTTTCTCTTACTGAGCTAGGGAGGAGTAGGAGAAGAGCAGATTTTTGGGAGCTATGGAGGGTGAATCATGAGTTTGGTTCTTGAAATTTAAGATACTTATTAGACCTCTAAGTTGGTAGGTAATTAGATATAGAATCTGAACCCTGGAGAGGTCTGGGCAAAAGTTATACATTTGGGAATCATTATTTTGTAGATGGTACTTAAATCTGGGAGATAAGAGATGCTCCCTTGAATAATAAGCATAGATTAAAAAGAGGTCTGAGGACATCTTGGGGCCTGGCAGCATGTTCACATCAAGGAGACAAGAAGGGACTAATTAAAGGGATTAAAAAATGGAGGGGGAATAGGGGATGGGAGGAGACCAGTGAGGTAGAGGGAGAACAAGAAAAAGTCAGGTCCTAGAAACCAAGTGAAGACAGTTTTTCAAGTAATTGTTGATCAGAACTGCTGATGGGTTGAGTAGAGTGAGTGAGTTTAAGGCAATATGAGAGGAGAGAAATTAGGGAAAAGAGAGTAGAGGCAACACATTGGAGGAATATTGCTGTAAAGTAGAACAAAGAAGATGGGGGCAGAGGGATATGTGGGATCAGGGAAAGTTTTTTTTAAGGCTGGAGACTGCAGGATATATTCCTATTGATTGAAATGATTTGGCAGAGAAGATAAAATTGATGATATAGCAGAAAGAGGAGACAGTTACTGGTGTGATATCTTTGAGTAGGTGAGAGGGACTATAATGAATTAACCTAAACCAGGAGCAGAGACAGTTTATCCATGGTAACAAGAAGGAAGGCAGAGGGTATGGGTTCAAATGTAGGTAGGTCATTATCTGTGGCTGTGGGAGGTTGGTGTGGGCATTCTCTTCTGATTGCTTCTATTGTTTTTTCAGTGAAATCAAAAGCAAGACTCATCTGGGAGTGAGGATGGGGGGCCAGTTTTGGAGGTTTGAAGAGACAGGAGAAGGTATGAAGTAGTTTTGAAGAGAATGGACTAGAAAGACAATAGTGAAGCACTGGGGGCCCACTTGAATTTATGCACATGAGTTCAAAGTATGGTGTTTCTTTTCTAGTCACATTTAGATGCATGGGTCTAGGCTTGGAGTAGGTGGAGAGTTGGATGTTACCAGAATTGGGGTTTTCACTGACAAGTATGAAGAAGCAAGGAAGGAGAAAGATATGTAAAAGCTGTTGATTATAATGACTGATCATGGAATTTAAGTTTGATAAAGAAGGAGATGAGGATAGGAAAGAAATAAAGAACAGAAAGGTATAGGAGCAGTGATTGTAAATTCTGGAGGGGTTGAGGTAGGGAACTGGAGAGAGTGAGCTGGGAAAATAGGTGGGAGTAAGGGAGAATAAGCTTATGAAAGAACTCTTCATTTTTGAAGAGTGAGAATAACTGGGAGTGGGTGACTGAGAGGTAATAGGACAAGATCATTGATGGAGCGGAGGTCAGTGACTCGATTCAAGAGCAGAATGATCATCAACGTGGAAATAGAAATCGTTGCAAATGAGAAATGTGGGGAAATGACCTGAGCCTTTGTAGATGAGTTCAGCAAACAGGATGGTAAAGACTAATGGCATAATCTGTAAAAGTAGGCGTTTTTAGGGAGGCAGGTGGGATAATGGCTTGGAAGTGGCAATGGAAAATAAGGAAGATACCATTTGCCTCCAGGTTAGGGCTCCAAAGACCGGGAAACAACTGCCACTGGAGAAGTCTACTGGGAAACAGTATTCTTATGCAGGTTTCAGTTAAAGCAAGAAGAGGAAGGCAATGTTCAGAGAAGAGACTGAAGATATTGAGTATTAGTAAACTATATGAACTGATTAATGGAGAAACTGTAGACTAATTTGGTTAACCAGATTGTAAGAAGGGAAGTAAAAGTTGGATAAGAAATTGGTGCTCTATTATAAACAATTCTTGCTTTAAAATATTCGTTTCATTCATTCCCAGGTAAAGTGAGAATGTAAACCTTTTCATATGCTGTTTCTTTGCCTGTGATATTCCATCTTCCTAGCCTCTTCCCAACTAGAGAGAGGTTAAAGATAATGAGATGGGTGTAGATCTGCTGATGGAGTGATGCTTTTGCAGAAACAGAAGAGAAAGGATCCCAAGCAAAGGTTGAGGTTTTAAGAATGTGTGCATAGGTCAGTGAATTGTGTGAATTGGATCATGGAGGTAGGAAATTGAGGAATTTCCCATCTGATGACTTGTATTTTCTTGTTAAAATAGGAAGCAAAGCTATCCGTTTAATGTGATATGAGAGAGGGCAGGGCTTGATGGAGTTTGATATTGCTTTGATGGAGAATGGGAGCTCACTTGTTAAAGAAATGTTTCTGGACGAATTACAAGATCTGTTCAGGTCAGGAATTCATTTTGTGAAGTCACCAGTCTTCTCCCTGAATGATTTTTATCTGGAAGTCTAAGCATTACTAGGTATAGGAATGGAGCAGTCAAATGTCTGGATTAATTTAGATTGGAGTTTGTTCACAGAAGTAGAATAAAAAGATTAAAGGCAGAGAATTGAAGAGTCTGACAGGCAGGTGTTTGAAGGAGTATACTGTAGTATATTATCAGAACATAGAAGGTAGTGGGTACAGAAGGAGATTGATCAAGAAGAAAGGAGAGAATTCAAAATTCTGAAGGTCTAAATGAAATGAAAGGACTAGTATGATGGTATAAGGACATGAGATACCTGAAAAGATACGGTTTTATTCAGGGAATGGGAATTTAAGGTTTTAGATTGAGCAGAGTTCCAGATAATGACAACAATGTAGGTTTTGGAATGCATGGTTGATTTGAAGCAGTGTGAAGGAATAGTCATTTGGCATTAGAGAGTTCAAAATACTGGAAGCTTAGATGCTAGAGGATTAGATGGTTTGTCCACACAGTATATTTAAGTCACCAGATACATTGTTAGTGACTGGGATAGAGAAGGACCCAGGTGCCAGTGTTACATGAATGAATGAAGGGTAGTACTTAGGAGATAGAAGGCAATGTCCTGGATAGTGGAGCCTCAATGTAGCATTACTTTGTGAAGTCCATGTGAGTAGAAAGAACAGTGAGATGGGTGAAGTTGAGGTTCTGGTATATTTGTGTTATTTGTGTGTTATTCTTTTCTCACATCATCATACACTTATTCCTTTATTTCTTCTACCATTTTTTTTTCATTTTTATTAGGATTTATTCGTTGTATGGGGGGATTCATTGTGACAGTTTCAAATAGGCTTACATTGAATATTGGTCAGATTGTTGATCTACTTATTTTTTTTTCCTGTTCTTTATTTTTTTCCCCCAGTACTGGGAATTAAACCCCAGAACCTTACACTTGTTAGGCAAGCATTCTACTATTTGAGCTATGCTCCCAGCTTTCCTGCTTCTTATCTAATTATTTGTTGTAGGATTTCTTAATTTTTTAATAAATACCTTTGTTCATAAGAAGTAATCATTGAACTAATGTGACCTTGTTGAGTTTGACAGCTTATCTGTCTAATTTCTTTGTGGAAACTACTAATACTGGTTTCCTGGGGCAGGAGGAGCTAGACATTCGAACACTTCAAACCAAAAATCGCAAGCTAGCAGAAATGCTGGATCAACGGCAGGCCATTGAAGATGAACTTCGTGAGCACATTGAAAAACTGGAACGACGACAGGCCACTGATGATGCCTCACTGCTGATTGTCAACCGGTACTGGAGTCAGGTGGCCAGCTTGTTTGTTCACTCAGATTTGTATGAGCATTTTAGTCGTTAGTACTGTTTTCTTTCTAAAGTTATGTCTTTTTCTTTTTTCGTAATTCTCCGTACACCTCTCCAGTTTGATGAAAACATCCGTATCATCCTTAAACGTTATGATCTGGAACAGGGTTTGGGAGATCTACTCACGGAGAGGAAAGCCCTTGTTGTGCCAGAACCGGAGCCTGATTCTGATAGCAATCAGGAACGCAAAGATGACCGAGAGAGAGGCAAGTATTTGTGAGAGATTCTGTCATATCATGTTATCTGGGTTTTCAAAAGTGAGCCTTGTTTTGAGGCTCTCCATTTGAGGGGAAAAAATGGATTTTGATATTTCCAGTTTTATAATTTTGGAGGGCTTCTTTTTTCCCCCGTGTCCTCAGGGGAAGGGCAAGAGCCAGCTTTCTCTTTCCTTGCTACTTTGGCCAGCAGTTCCAGTGAAGAGATGGAATCTCAGTTGCAGGAGCGTGTGGAGTCCTCTCGTCGAGCTGTGTCCCAGATCGTGACTGTCTATGATAAATTGCAAGAAAAAGTGGAGCTTTTATCCCGGAAACTAAACAGTGGAGGTGAGGCAAGAACCTAGAGGCTAGAAGCAATGTACATAGAATAAGAACCTACCTTTTTGGGGCTTGGGGTACAGCTGAGCGGTAGAATGTGTGCTTAGCATATATGAGGCACTAGTTCAGTCCCCAGCAGCAAAAAGAAAAACAAAACTAACTTTTGCATGCTGATTTGTAGTTTGCAAATTTACATATTTACTTTTAATTAAATTCCTTAGAATCTTAATCTTTATTACCTATAATGTCATTACTATGGCATTTTAGTATTTTAAGATCATTCACAATTTGAGCCACATGACAGTTCTTCAAGATTCCAAGGAAAGATTTTATCACTTCATTTGGTAATTGTTATTAATTAGATACTTTCATAGTATCAGAAATAATTTTGACTTTTGACTTCAAAGAATCAGTTTTTAATATGTTCTTATTTTTTGTTTTTCTTTTATCTTTAATGTTTTCAAAAAGTTGGCTCAGGTTTTAGAGTTGTAAGATGATTTCTATACTTAAAGAAATAGAAAATATTATGTGGATGGAAAGGTGCTTAAAATTATTACTCGGTTACTTATTTTAATGAGTGTTAATATACAAATTAAATTAAAAGTGATAAAATACAAATTAAAGTTAAAATTAAATATTTGTGTAGTTACATTGCATCTTTAGTCATTTGTGACATAGATTTCCTGCTCAAATGCAAATAAATACCTTGATTTCACGTTTTCAGTAACTTCCCTGATTATCATTAAGATAATTAACCTTTCATCTCTGAAAGAAATAATTTCATTGTAATGGAGGTTGGACCATTGAATGGGCAAGTCAGAAGTATGTTGTTCTGTAATTTTATTTGGTCTCAGTAATCACCAGAATTAGGAAGTATGTATAAGACTTGAAAAAATTTTATGGTCAATTATTTCTTTCGCTATTCTGTTAGTGTTTTTGTGTATTTTTGTATTTTATTGTTAGTATAAGAAATCAGTGGGGAATGAATGGATATGAATCATCCCTGTTACCTATTATAAAACAAGCTGTGTGTTACTTCTCTCTTAGCTCTTATTGAATAGTTAGAAGGTTTGATAAATCCTGATAATGTAATATATCACATATAGAGGCTATGTTCATGTTAAATTTGATATTTCAAATGAAGAGCAAGCAAAGCAATGGCGACATTTGTAAAGGAACAAAAATGAATAATATATCAATAATACTTTAAAATAATTCTTCTGGAGGACATGAATTTTAAGATTGGGTTTAAGTTAAATAAAACATTTATTACAAATTATAAATAGCTAAGCTATTATTTCTACCACAAAAGGAAATTGTCATCTATCAGCTGAACTTTCTAAGAGAGAAAGATATATACAGAATGAATTGTAGTATCAACTAACTTTTTTGGGAGTTCATTTTTACCCCATCTATATTTGGTTTTTGATTCCAAAAACAGTTGCATTTATGGCTTATTTGTCAACTCACTGAATATTGAGCTCTTATATTCTAGGCTGTTTTCACAGTGCTTAGGATATGGATAGAACTAAAATTTAGCCCTTAGTTTTTAACTTGGGTTGTGAATCAGTCACTTCATAGTTTTCTGAGGTATGCTGTTTTTTGACCCTGCCCATGGAAATTCTTATTTAGTAGATGTGTGCATGTGTCTTATGGAAATGTCTACTTTAAAAGTTCCACAAGTGATTCTGATGGGCAAACCTAGATTGAAAAACCATAGAAACCCACCACATGACTAACTTGTTCTGTGTTGTTTCTAAGAGTGATGACTATAGGTGGTATGGGCCATTTTTTTTTTCTATAATGACTGCAAAAGGTATTGTATATCCTGAGAGTACCTGATTCCATTGATAACATTTGTATTTGAACTATACTAGTTGGGACTCTTAATTTTAAACACATGAACTTGTAAATTATAAATGCTGAACTACCTCCTTTGTAAGTAGTAGTATACATTTTGGTTTTTGAGCTTCAGGAATTCTCTAGCATAGTAAGTAAATTATGTTCTCTAGAATATGGTAAGTGATTTTATACTCTTGTCTTTGTTCTTCATGATTTTATAGGTGCTTATTTGAAGGTGGAAAGTCTCCCTGCCCCTCCTCTGTCCCTTTTTCATGTTGGTGTTAGTTAATAGTGGGAATTCATGATAGCTTTATAAAATAGAATTAAATTGTTACTAATTCTGATACTGATTAGAGATCTTGTCTTCAATTCTAAAATGTAGTTTGTTGGGAGATTGTACCATATATAAATAAAATTATATAACTTCCATTTCTTTCTTAAGGCATTTTAACTTTATACAAAGGGATGAAGTTAGGTGACCTATGCTGCAAGTTGACTCATTTAGTTAATCAGGTCACTTAACCTTTGGCTACTTCATCTGTCACAGGAAATAATTGAAACAGGTCTCTTACTTGAAGTTCTGAGGAAAGTGAAATGAGGTAGCGTGTTAAGGCTTTGGTGGTAGGATACATGGTTTTAATTAAGATTTGGCACTATAGATACTAAATTAAAGTGGAGCTCTTCTTCCTCAGATAATCTGATAGTGGAGGAAGCAGTGCAGGAGTTGAATTCCTTCCTCGCACAAGAGAATATGAGGCTGCAGGAACTGACGGACCTCCTCCAGGAGAAGCACCGCACCATGTCTCAGGAGGTACTTGACCAGGATGGAGGGATGGCTGTTACTAATGGCTTTGGCAGGCATTGACTCAGAATTTGGTTCTACAAGGCCTTTTATATTAGCACTCAGGATAGGGTAAAGCAGCCAGCTCTGAGAAATCAAAATCTATGGAAAGGTTAGGGGAAGAAAATATTTGAATATTTCTCCTTGATTGTGCCTCTGTTTAAACAGATATTTTAGGATTTTTATCTTTAGGAGGAGGTGCCATTCTTTTGGATTTATTTTACAAACACAGCAAAAGTTGCAAACCCCCAAACAGTGAACTACACTAAATGTAGAAGACTATGAGTAATGTTACCAAGAAATAGCTTAATTAAAATTCAACAGGTAACTATGGGAACTCTACTGCATTCATGATGTCCTAGGAACTTGAGGAATGTGAGTTTTTAGTCCAAACTTGGGAATAAATAGTGCCATGACCAAACCATACCAAGATTTGGGCATTTATTTATATAAAATGCATATGATATAAGTGGTAAGGGTTCTTAAAAGACTCTTCTGATTTTGGTTTAGTTCAAAAGATCTCTATTGGAAAGTGACTTACCTTGATTTGGCCATAAGTTTTCACATTGATTAGTGCCTAGCATGAATATTATCACTAACAGTAAAATAGCTCCTGCTTTATTATTAGACAAATGAATGAGAAGCGGTTAGCGATTTATCTGAAGGGAGATGGCTAGAAAGTAATTGAGTCATACTTTGAATATAAATCCGTCTAATCTCAAAGCCATGTTCTTTGTACAGTCTTGTTTCCTAAATTCTAGTGATAAGGTGCATGCAAGTCTGGTTGCATGAGAATCATCTGGGGAGTATATAAATACATGTCAGTTTTCATGTACCTTCAAAGGGTCAAGGTTTAGCAGTACTTATAAATAAATTGAAGTATAGTAAGAAGATGTAATAACCTGTTGTTTTTTGTTTTGTTTTTTTCTGTTTGGTGTTTTTTGCTAGTATTGGGGTTTGAACTTAGGGCTTCATGCTTGCTAAGCAGGAGCTCTACTGCTTGATCCAGGCTTCCAGTCCTTTGTGCTCTGGTTATTTTGGAGTTAGGGTTATCACTTTTTGTCCAGGCCAGCCTGGACCATGATCCTCCTCTAGTTTAGCAGGTGTGTGCTACTGGGCCCAGCTTTTTCCATTGAGGTGGGTCTCACAAACTTTTTTGCCCAGAAGTGGACTAGACCCATGATGGAAATGTCTTTATAGCCCTTTCCCAGATCTCAGCATTACTAAGCCAGAGGGCACATTGTTATACTGAATCGGGTTCATTTGCTGTTGGAAGCACAGCTTAGTTTCTTGCTAGAATGCCTGTAGGTCACCTCTCTCTCATTGCCAGTCTCACGGTAGTTGGATTGCTTACATGGAAGCTGAATTTTTCTAGTGAGCATTCTAAGAAAATCAGGCATAATCTACCTGACCTTGCCTCAGAGTTACATAGTATTATTTCCACTGGATTACTTAAGTTGACCCAGATTGACAGGAAGAAACCATACCCCCCCTTTTTTTTTTTTTTGTGGTACTGGGGTTTGAATTCAGGCTAGGCAAGTGCTCTACCACTTGAGCCATGCCTCTAGCTCTTTCTGCTTTTAGTTTAAGTTTATTTTTTAGATAGGGTCTCCTACTTTTGCCTGGAGCCAGCCTTGGACAATGACCCTCCTACCTCCCACATAGGTGGGATCAGAGGCATGCACCTGGTCTGGTTTTTGAGATAGGGTCTCTAACATTTTTTGCATAAGCTGGCCTCTAACCAAGACCCTCCCATTTCTGCCTCCCACATAGCTGGAATTATAGATGTCTACCACTATATGTGGTCCTAGTTCCCACCTTTTGATGGGAGGACTGTCACAGAACTTGGGGGCTATATTTTAGAACAGCTTTATGTATAGAGTAATGTGAATAGTCTTATAATTAAAATACTAAGTAGCATTAGCTGGCATATAGCTCCTAAACAGAGAAAAACAAAGATTTTTGTGTCTTTATAGTATCTGACTCTAAATTGTTCTGGGGTCAGCTTAAAAAAAAAATGAAAGTTTTCATTTTGTTCCATATGGATCATCATTTGTGGGAATGTGGGGAGAGAAAGTTGGAGGTAAAAATAATTGTCTTTGTTGAATTTTTATTTTCAGGGGTAGAATATTTACTGAATCTTAAGTGATCTTTTCCTTGTGTACAAGTTCTTATGGACTTCTACAGTTTTCATGATTGTAACTAAGAATTGTTAAAATTAATCTGTGGCTTCATTTTTACACGTGTTTGTTGAGTAATATTTTCTATAATTGTATATAAACAATGGTTAATATTGTGGGATTTGGAACTAAGCTAATGATGTAAGGTATTTCTTTTCTAACTTTGCCTTTTTTGCTGTGTTTTTCTGGATTTCAATTGTTGGGATTTAGTTCTCCAAGCTGCAGAGTAAAGTGGAAACAGCTGAGTCACGAGTGTCTGACCTGGAGACCATGATTGATGACTTGCAGTGGGATATTGACAAAATTCGAAAGAGGGAACAACGACTCAACCGGCACTTAGCAGAAGTCTTAGAACGGGTCAGTGCTGTTTTATTATAGGCTTGAGACTAGAGTCATCTTAATGAGAATTCAAAAAGGATTGCTTGGATAGTGGTGTTTGGGGAAAAAAATTGATCCTTTGAAAGTATGTTGGTCATCAGACTGAAAATTTCAGGTCTCTCATTAAAGAATTTCTATCTTTTCTTTAGGTGAATTCAAAAGGTTATAAGGTATATGGAGCAGGGAGTAGTCTCTATGGTGGCACAATCACCATCAATGCCCGGAAGGTAAAGTTACTCACTCAAGATGCGGTGTTTGACTGGTGTCAGGCCTTGGGCATAGGGACTTGGATTGGTTCACAGGTGACAAAGGTTTTGTGAAAAGAGTGGATCAGTGAATATGGAAAGCTTAGAAATGGGAATAATCTAAGAAGAACTCTTATCCTTACTCTAATTTGCTATTTTGCTGCTTCTGTCCAGTTTGAGGAAATGAATGCAGAGCTTGAGGAGAACAAAGAGTTGGCTCAGAACCGCCACTGTGAGCTAGAGAAGCTCCGGCAAGACTTTGAGGAGGTCACCACACAGAATGAAAAGTTGAAGGTAGGAGACACGTCTCTGGAAGAGTGGTAAACTAGACTGTTTTGTGGATATATATACTCATACTTGTAAATCCATATAATTTATGAAGGAAATAAAAATATAGACAAAAAGTCAATGTCATTTCATGATAAAACTCAACAAATTAAGTATAGGAGAAATGTACCTCCACATAAAAAAAGGCTATCTACTACAAGCCCACAGCTAACATCAGACTCAATGGTGAAAAGTCGAAAGCTTTTCCTCCAAGGTTAGGAACAAGACAAGGATAGCCACTCTTGCCATTTCTACTCAGTACAGTACTGGAAGTCCAGCTAGATCAGAAAAGTGTAAGAAATGAAAGGCTTCCAAATTGGGATGGAAGAAGTAAAGTTGTCTCAGCAGATGACATGATCTGACATATAGAAGATCCTAAAAAGTTGTTAGAATTATAAATGAGTTCATGAAGTTGCATGATAAAAAATCAACATGTTTCCAAATATGAACAGTAAATTATATGAAATAGAAATTAGGAAGATAATCTCATTTTACAATAACATCAAAAAAGAAAACCCAAAAAACTTAGAAATAAATTTAGGTAAAGATACAAGAAATTTAGGTAAAGGTACAAGATCCACTGAATGGATCAAGAAAATGTGGTAATTAGATGGAGTATTATTTGGCTTCTAAGGAAATCCTACTGGATGTGGTGGCTCATGTCTGTAATCCCAGCTACTTGAGGCAGAGGTTGGGAGGTTCTTGGTTTGTGGCCAGTCTGGGCAAAAGGTTAGCAAGATGACCTCCCTCCCCGCCCCCCATTCAGCCCAAGCATAGTAAAGTGTGTATGTGCTACCAGCTACATGGGATACTCTAGACAGGAGGATCATAGTCCAAGGCCAGCCCTGGGCAAAAATGTAAGACTCTACTTGAAGATTAGCTAAAGTAAAAACAGACTAAGGGTGTGGCTCAGGTGTAGAGCTTCTGCCTAGCAAGTGCAAGGCTATGAGTTCAAACCCCAGTACCATCAAATTAAAAAAAGAAAGAAGAAATCTTGTCTAATGTGACAGCATGGATGGACCTAGAGGACATCATGCTAAATGAAGTAAGTCAGACATAGAAAGACAAATATTGCATGACCTCACTTATGTGTGGGATCTAAAACAGTGTAGCTCATAGAAGCAGAAAATAGAATGATGGTTACCAGGAACTGGGGAAGGGGACAATGGGAAGACATTGGTCAAAGGGTATAAAGTTTTTGTGTGGTCCGAGTAAGTTTTGAAGATTTCATGTATGGTGTGATAACTATAGTTGATAATTCTGCATTGTGAAAATATATTGTAAGAGAGTAGATCTTAATTGTGCTCACCATTCAAAAAAGGTAACTGTTGATTAGCTTGTTTTATCATTTCACAGTGAATATGTATATCAAAACTTGTACAGATATGTTCATCTTTATTTGTTAATCATACCTTAAAGCTGGAGGGGGGGTAGAAAAATGTATCTTTTGTTGATAACACTATTTATTTACATATTTATTTTTTTAAATCTGAACTGTGCCTTTTTTGAAAAAAACTTTAAAGCAATGTATTAAGATTGACAGACTAAATCAAGGTATTCTAACTTGGGAGTTGTTGAGAAAATTGAAGAGGGTCAGAATTCAAAATAGATATTAAAAATGATTGTTTATAAGTTGTGTGAAAGGAACGTATATATACTATGGGAAGAGAAACCAGTACATGTCATTTTTTGCAAAACTGGGCCACAGGTTGGGCTCTCCATTTTCTTGCTGCCAAAACAAAGGAAGAAACATCAATGATCCACTTGGTTTCCAAACCTGCCCGTTAGATTTTTCCTGCTCGGGGTTTTAGGGGAAGAAAGAAATTCTAGAAGTCTTCCTTATTCCTCTTTCAACCATAGACACCTGTCTTTTATAATTTAATTTATTCCTAGGTAAGTAAATAAGAAAAAAGATGTTTGAACTAAGAAAACAACCTAAATTAAATCAATTAAGATGTTGAGTAATTAAAGAAAATAGCTGCTTAGGAGAAGTATAATTATTTTTACTATCATGTCAGAAGAATTTTATGTGACTGTTAATAAAGAAATTAGTGACTGAGGTCTATAACCATGTTGGTTTTGGTGGAGGGGGTGGTACTGGGGTTTAAACTAAGGGCCTTGCACTTGCTAGATAAGTACTCTACTACTTGAGCTATGCTCCTAGACCTTTTTACGTTATTTATTTCCTTTGAATAAGGTTTCTTCTTGTTACCCACATCAGCCTGTGTAGTTGGAATGACAGGTGCTGCTACCATGCCCAGGTTTTTTTTGATTGAGATGGGGTTTTTATCCCCAGGCTGGCCTTGAACTGCAATCCTCCAGACCTCTGTCTCCCAAGATCCTGACAAATTTCACAGAACTCTTCTAGCAGCTCTTCTAATGTGTTTGGCACTTGGTTGAAACAAAATACATATCAAAACAGTCCTTGGTAGTCTTTTTTAATTGGGGGTGGATTTTACATAGAGGAATAGGCAGATGGGTTTCATATTCTTCATAATGATTGTTTCATTTCTCCAGGACAATTGAATTGTGTTCAATATTTTATTTCCTCTTTATCTAGCACCTGTGGCACATATGCTAGGTTTTGCTTCCAACTTGCTTTGTCTTTGGGACTTCCTAAGGTGGAGTTGAGGAGTGCAGTGGAAGAAGTGGTTAAGGAAACTCCAGAATATCGCTGCATGCAATCGCAGTTTTCGGTCTTGTACAACGAGAGTCTTCAGTTGAAAGCACATTTGGATGAGGCTCGGACCCTGCTTCATGGCACCCGGGGAACCCACCAGCGCCAGGTTGAACTCATAGAGGTAACAGTCTTGCTTTGTTTCTGTTTTTCTTTATCTGCCTCATAAATTTTATAATTTTACTCTCTCACAATGCAGTCATCCACAAACATCTTTGGAGTGACTGTGAGTCTTTACTCTGTTAGATAGTGGCCATAACAAAGATGAGACAACAGAATTCCTGCAGTTGACTGGGAGAATGGTATCCATTAGAATTCAGTGTGGTTAATAGCAGTATATCCAAAAGGTGTGATGGAGGGTATAAAGCTTCTGATTTAACTGTGGACCTTCCTGATTTCATTTGATAAAATGAAATGTAAGTTTAAAAGATAAATAAAAGTAGGAAAAGTGCGTTCCCAGATCTTACACCAACATGTGATATTTACTGTAGTTGGAGTGTATGTGTAGGAGAGAACAGTGAGTGGAAACTACATCACTACTTATTTGCTATTAGGCACTTAATAGCACCTGTAGATAGAGGCAGAAATTTTTATTCCTGTGTTCCATTTTGTATCTTCCATAATCCTTAAGATGTTTATAGTTGGTCTTTTCATATATGTCAGCCAAATGAATTTAATCTTTATAGGTATGTATATGTTGTTTTATGGTTTAGTTCTCCAACTAAATTGTATTATTCTCAGAATTAGAGGCCATTTCACTTCTTTCTTCAGTCTCCTGCCAATTTCTGAGTCAGTTTTTCTAAACTACTGTTTCTAAATCTGTATCTAGTATTCATTAAGTTTTGAATGAAGTAGAAATTTCCAGAGCAGTCCATTTTTCTTGGCATATTCTTTTCTCTTTTTTTAGGTCTTTACAGATCAAATTTAGGAGACAGAATACTAGAGTATGATTATATTTTCACATTTTGATAAAGAATTTTTTTTTTGGCTCTTTTTTTGATGTAGCGAGATGAGGTTAGTCTTCATAAGAAGTTGAGAACTGAAGTGATCCAGCTGGAAGATACGTTGGCTCAGGTCCGCAAGGAGTACGAAATGCTGAGGATAGAGTTTGAGCAGACCCTTGCTGCCAATGAGCAAGCAGGTATAACCTCCTCATCCTGTAGTTCTTCTGCTGGAAGTGCCTTTCTTCAAAGATACAACATGATTCCTTGGATTTGTTGACACTAACTTGAACTCAGAGGACCCTAAATTCTATCATTCATTTTGGGTCACAGCCCAGACATTTGTAATTTAACTCAGGTTGATCAGTTTCAGTTTTTATCTTCTGAGAAAAAAGATTTCTTTTGGTAATTCTCCTTGTTTGGGATCACGTTAATTGAGGAAGCTCCTTATGTGTTCTCCACTTCCTCTCCTTTTGCTTTTGCCCTTATCATGGTTCCTCTTAACATTGCTATTGGTATATTTAAGGCCCTATAAACCGGGAAATGCGCCACCTCATCAGTAGCCTCCAGAATCATAATCATCAGCTGAAAGGGGAGGTCCTAAGATATAAGCGGAAATTGAGAGAAGCCCAGTCTGACCTGAACAAGGTAAGCAGGAGGAGTAGAATCAGCATTATTTGCTGTTACGTTTGTAAAGCTGTTTTCAACTGATGTGGTTCCCAGAAGTGATGTGCACCTTTCCTTTCTTTATTCTCAACTAGACACGTCTGCGCAGTGGCAGTGCCCTCCTGCAGTCTCAGTCTAGTACTGAGGATGCTAAGGATGAACCTTCAGAGCTAAAACAAGATTCTGAGGACTTATCCACCCAGTCCTCAGCATCAAAGTCATCTCAGGAAGATGTCAATGAAATTAAGTCTAAACGGGATGAAGAGGAGCGAGAACGAGAAAGAAGGGAGAAAGAAAGGGAGCGAGAAAGAGAAAGAGAGAAAGAGAAAGAGCGAGAACGAGAGAAACAGAAACTAAAAGAGTCAGAAAAAGAGAGAGATTCTACTAAGGATAAAGAGAAAGGGAAACATGATGAGGGAAGGAAAAAAGAAGCAGAAGTTATCAAACAATTGAAGATCGAACTCAAGTAAGAGCAGTATTTCAGTGTTTCTGATTCACAACCTAGGGTTTAGACATGATGAGTGAAATGAAATGTTCGGTTCATGGCATGGTTCATCTGATTATTGTATCTTAGATGTAACTAAATGTACAACTAACGTAGTCTCAAATCTTGATCAAATATATACAGCCAAACTGGCCTTCCTGGCTATTTGAGTTCCTAGTCTACGTGAGTAGTTAGAGTTCAATAAACCACATGGGCATAGCTTTATTCTTCATGAATCCAAATTAAGAGAAAGAAGAGCTATCTTACTGAAATAGCACATTGAAAATTATTGGAAATTAACTACTGCTGGACTTTATTTGAGCTGGACAAATTGCTGGCATTAGTTGTAGTTTAAGTTATACTAAGTAGAGTATGTATCACTGTAACTTGAATATGACTAATTTGTGGGTATGCCAGATCAAATTAAGATTTCTTAGGTTTACTCCTGTAAAAACCCAAACTCATACTTTTGTCAGAACCTCACATGTTGCTGCTTTCTTGTGCAACCAAAAATTTCTCTGGTAGAACTAGTTACTTCTGGTTCCCCGTTTTTCACTGGTGACTTTGTTGATGGAAAGGTGGAATTATAAGATGGAATTATAAGAGATTACTGAAATTAAAATACTTAACTACAGTAAATGCACTTAAGAGACTTAATAATGTAATAAGAGGTGAAGTGTTAGTCTTTGGCCCTGATGATTAATCATTCAGTTTTTAAGCCTAGGATTAGCAGTATGTTTTAAACTTTCAAATTTTCCTCCCCCTCCTCCCTTCTTGATGTCTTTAAGGCAAACTTGGTTGTCAAGTGTAGTATTTTTCTGAGTGATTTGTTTAATTATTTCTTTGGACCCAGACCTGCCGAATCTTTGTGTCTGATAGTGGGACCACAGAAATTTGCCTATGTAGAATTGCCCAAACTTTATGCTGGAGAACTAAAGAGAGAAATGATTCATTTGTTCAGGTTATTTTTCTGTATTCTCTAAGTATATTACAGAAGTCTATTTTTCCTTTTAGGTATAACATAGAATATTCAGTGCAACTCAAAATTCCCTTGTTCTGATGTCCTTTATTTTCTCATTCCATCATTCCCCTCCCCCCTGCCACCCTGTCATAGGAAGGCACAAGAGAGCCAAAAGGAGATGAAACTATTGCTAGATATGTACCGCTCTGCCCCAAAGGAACAGAGAGACAAAGTTCAGCTAATGGCAGCTGAGAAGAAGTCTAAGGCAGAGGTAATCCACTCTGCCATTGCCTATCATTGTGGTGAAAATCTTTATTTGTGGGCTTTCCCTTCATACTTCTCAAGGATGTAGTTTCTTTCTTTATTTTTAAAGGTAGTATTTAATTTAGCAACATTTTGTACCCTTTCCAAGACCATCTGGAGATTTAAATATTCTCTGCAAGATTGTAAAATACATCAGAATTACTGGCAATGGGATTTTTTAAACTTGTAATTCCCCGTGTTTGCCATATAAAGCATTGCTTGTGTGGTTCTTTTTATATCAGAATTACTGGCAATAGGATTTTTTAAACTTGTAATTCCCCAAGCATTGCTTGTGTGGTTCTTTTTCTCTGATTACTTTTGGGAGAAATGTCTTATAATCTTAAAATTTTGAGGCCTAGAGGGAAAAAAGGTGGAAACCTGTATTCTAAAGAAAGGCATATGTGTAATTGTCAAAAATGTTGCTCATTGAAGCACAATATGTAGAAATGGAGTGATGTCAAAACAGTGTTGTAATATATATTGTTTATAATTATTATGCTATTTATCTTGTCCCATAATTTCTGTATTCTTTTGGTGTTATGGGTGCTCCATCTGTGCACAGTTTTAATAGGCTTTTGAAAAGGTATTGTAAGTTTTTAAATTTTATTTTTATGTGATTCTTTTCCTTTTGTAGTTGGAAGATCTAAGGCAAAGGCTCAAGGATTTAGAGGACAAGGAGAAGAAAGAGAACAAGAAAATGGCTGATGAGGATGCCTTGAGGAAGATCCGTGCAGTAGAGGAACAGATAGAATACCTGCAGAAGAAGCTGGCCATGGCCAAGCAGGTGGGCAAACTTACTTTATTTGTATTTGTTTAAGTAAGTGTTACCTAACAAGTAAGTTACTGTCAGTGAAATTTGTTCTTTCATTGTAGTCTTTTTATTGTTTGTATTCGCTCTCTCTCTTTCTCTCATTTGCTCGTTTACTTGCTTTTATATTGAAGTCTTTCATCCTTCCATTATTTTATTAGTGTATTGAGAGGCAGAGAATTTATTTTTATTTTCAAATGGAAATAAAACATTGTTTATTAGGGATCAGTTCTTTCTCTGCTAACTTGGAATTAGGGGATAATGGAAAAAAGGATACAAGATTTTATAATACATTATGATTATAAATTTGTGAAACTAAGAAATATATGTTTCCTAAATAGGTTATAAATAATCAGTACTGGGTCATAGAACTATAGAGAGACTATGCTTCTTTTTATAATGCTGTGTTCCTATCTACTCTGGAGGATCCCAGTTCAAGACCAGCTTGGGCAAAACAGATTGTGAGACTGTCTCAACTGATAAAAGCTGGACATGGTGGTATGTGCCTATCATCCCTGTTATACAGGAAACTTAATAGGAGAATTGCACTCCAGGCTTGCCCGGGCATCAATATGGGACCCTATCTCAAAAATAACCAAAGCAAAAAAGGACTGGAAATGTGGCTCAAGTAGTTTAGAATGCCTGCCTAACAAGCACAAGACTCTTAATACCACCAAAAAAAAAAAAAAGTTAATTCTTTCTAAGTTAGTGTATAAATTTACTGTGATTCCCAACAAAAGTACTATTTTTTTTTTTTTGCTTTGTTTGTTATGCTTTTGTTTGTTTTGGTACTAGACAAATTTTTCTTCAAGTGGAAAAGTAAACAGGAGTGATTAGAAAAACTAAAAACAACAGCAACAGGGTCTCTTCTAGACACTAAAACATAAAGTTTCAGTAGGTAAAATAGCTTGGAACCATTGGAATGACTATTAGAACTAGATAGGAAGGTTCAGAAATAGCTCAAAGTACACATGGGTTTTTAATATACACTAACACTAACAATGTGGTTTAAATCCTTTGGGAAAGGAAACACTGCTGAATGGAGTGGGCAAAAAACCCAGAAAAAAGTAGGGTATATTCTTGAACATTTCACTAGTATGATTTCAAAATGGATCATAGGTGTGATATTAAAAAGCTGAATCTATCAGAATGTGAAGAGAAAGTAAATTCCTTTGTAAATTTAGAGTGAAGACGACTTTTCTATTAATAAAAGCCTGGAGGGCTGGGGGCATGGTTCTAGTGGCAGATCATCTGACTAGCAAGCACAAGGCCTACAGTTCAAATCCCAGTTCCACAAAACAAACAAACAAAAAAGGATAGAAAAATGTGAAAGAAAGATTGATAATTTTAAGAAAAACAATGTACAATTTCTACATGGCAAAAACATTTAGCAAAGTCAACAGATTAAATGACAAAAAGAAAAAATTACTTTTATTACAAAAGTGCTTATCTTTCCATAAATTAAAACCTGAAAAATATAGGAAAAATCCAATAGAATAGATAAAAGATATGAATAGTACACAGAAAGGAATTCAAATCACTCTTAAACATGAAGAGATGCTCTTATTAGACAAGTGTAAATTAAACCCATTGTTATATACTATTTGACACCTATCAGATTGTTATGGAATTTAAGATATTGTAAATGCTGATAATTCTATAAATTATATTCAGTATAATTGTGAACAAGTAGGAGAAAATGGGACATGATGATATAAGTTCTCTTACCCAACTGCTACTTGGTCACTTTGCTAGTTTAAGGTATGTATAATTATTGTTTGTTTTAGCAGACTTCAAGTATGGATGAACTCATGAGTTTCAGAGCAAGTGGTGTCAAAGCTTAGATAATAGGACTTCTATGTTCTCAGGGAACTCAGTGACAAAACTAAGCTTAAAAAATCTTATTAAACTAAGTCTCTCTGTAAGTAACTAAGTTAATTTACATGTAAATGAACTGTGGCAATATTTAATCTCCTATGATTATTCTTTGGAACTAGAAGAGTCTACTAATAGGGTTCCTTGTTTTAGGAGGAAGAAGCTCTCCTTTCTGAGATGGATGTCACAGGCCAGGCCTTTGAAGACATGCAGGAGCAAAATATCCGTTTGATGCAGCAGTTGCGGGAGAAGGATGATGCAAATTTCAAGCTCATGTCAGAGCGTATCAAGTCCAATCAGATCCACAAGTTGCTTAAAGAGGAGAAGGAGGAGCTAGCGGACCAGGTTTTGACTCTAAAGACTCAGGTAATTAACATGAAGAGAGCTTTCCATTTGGTTGAAGGAGGTGCTTTGTACATGAAGATGTGAACATGACCATCATGGCATTTTTTTGTGATAGGAAAAAACCCTACAAACTAAATTTCTGTGATTAGGGCACTACTGGTAAATAAATCACTCATGCCTACAAATGAGTGCAGTAGAGGTGTTAAACACATGGATTTCCTAACGTGGAGAAACATCTAAAATATATCAAGTAACTTATCCATTTTGTGTTAAAATGAGAGTATGTGTGTGCTAAATTTCTGGAAATCTGCGAGGAAACTATGAGTGATTTCCTGGTTACTTCTAGATTTTGGCACAGGAAGTTGTAGGTGAGGGGTTAGGAAATGGATGTGTGATTTACTCTTTAATATTGTTTGATTCTACTTTGTGCATTAATTTTAGGAAAAAGATTACTTGTTCTTCTTAGCCATTCTAAAAGAGATTCACTTGGACATTTGTTTGAGTCAAAATGTGTATGTTCTAGTAGGAATTGCCAGGTTTTAAGAATTCATATGACTGTAGAAGGTAGATATCTATAAGTGTAATCTCCTTTGTTCTTGGCAATTGGAAAAATAATCTTTCCCAGACCCTTTAAATCACCCTTGATATTTAATTTGAAAAATGAAACTTTAAATCATAATCTTGGATTTTGAAGAGTTCATGGGTAAAATCAGTATAGTTTGAGGTTTCTAATGTACTCTATTTTTGTGGGCCTGTGACTTAAAGCATAACCAATTTTGTCTTCCTATTTATGTTAAAATCTGATTTCTTCCTCCAAAGGTTGATGCACAGTTACAGGTAGTAAGGAAACTAGAAGAGAAGGAGCACCTGCTGCAGAGCAACATCGGCACAGGGGAGAAGGAGTTGGGTCTTAGGACCCAAGCCTTGGAGATGAATAAACGCAAGGTAGGATGGATTACTTTGTAATCTAAAGTGACTGTCAATCGTGAGGAGCAAAGAAGTAAAATGTGGATGAGATTTTAAAGTTCATTTTGCTCCTTGAACTTGGGTTAACATTTTTGGATATAAGGAGTGATCAGATGATGTTTTTTGTACATTCACATAGGCAATGGAGGCAGCTCAGCTTGCAGATGACCTCAAAGCACAACTGGAGTTGGCTCAGAAGAAGCTTCATGATTTTCAGGATGAGATTGTAGAAAACAGTGTCACCAAAGAAAAGGATATGTTTAATTTCAAACGAGCTCAGGTAAGAGCAGTTCTCTTATATTTCCTTTCAGGTATTTTCTGAGGTCTAAAGTAACCTATGTAATGAGTAATGAATGTTACAGACTACTAGCTTGAGTTCTTTGTGACAAGAGATTAAGTCTGTTCTCTTCAATGTCATATTCCCATAATCTGTTGTGCCTGCCACCTACTTAGCATGAAATATTTGTTACATAAAAATTTGTTAATGAATTAGTGAATTGCTAAGTAGCAGCCTAACAGAATTTCTTCCAATTATAGAATTTCTTATATAATTTCCCTGTGTTTTATTATGTCATCTGTTTTCAGAATGCTTTTTTATATTTACTCATAAATTTGTAAATTGTTTTAATTTCAGTTTATCCTTACCTTACTACAAAATAAAGTGGCCTATTCTTTAAGTTTTCAGATTGTGTTCCACGGGCCTGAATTGTCTATTATTGATACAGTTTAAATTTGGGAATTTGATTATGGTTGCCTGTTTTGAAGCAAAAGAGAACATCTTTTGAAGTACTCTACATTCCTAAAGATAATTGTACATAATAGGAGATCCTTTGTTTCTATAACGGAATATTCAAGTTGGAGGAATTATTTCCCTCAAAACAGAGAAGAGTGTCTAATGAGTCTGCTATCCTACCACAGGAGGACATCTCTAGACTTAGAAGGAAGCTGGATACCACAAAGAAACCAGACAATGTACCCAAGTGTGATGAGATTCTAATGGAGGAGATTAAGGATTATAAGGTTAGAAAAACTGCCTTAGTGATTTCTCTGTGTATTTTGTTAAGGCTTGAAGTGTTTTACTAGTATACCAGAAGGATAAACACTGAATTTTTTTTTTTACAGGCAGGGAGATAACCAGAGAATGGTTTATTTGAAGGGGATGGAAATGATACTCTTGTCCTAGTTTTTGTGCTTTTCTTTTTGTTTGCTTACATACCATAGACATTTGGCTTGTAAACCTTTATGGTTGCTCAGACTCTGACTTCTTTCTTTTTTAGGCACGACTGACCTGTCCATGCTGCAACATGCGTAAAAAGGATGCTGTACTTACCAAGTGTTTTCACGTTTTCTGCTTTGAGTGTGTGAAGACACGCTATGATACTCGCCAGCGCAAATGTCCCAAGTGTAATGCTGCTTTTGGTGCCAATGATTTCCATCGCATATACATTGGTTGATCCAAGTCAAGAGAAGAGGAGCTGACTAGACAAGCACTTACTTATTAACCACCAAACTTCTACCTCTTCTCTTCTTGATAGTCTGTCAACTCCCTTCCTCCACAGACTTTATGTCCAGGCTCTCTGTCCTCCCCAACAGCTAGATGACTTTAGGGAAAAAGACTGGTAAATGTAAGTCTTGGGCTTTACAATGAATTAGAAACTACTCATATTTGTCTCCCTACCAGCTTTGTTTATTTCCTGCTTTTAGACCTTTCATCATTATCTTCTTTGGGCCCATTCTGTACTCTTGTATTGTTCCTCCTAAAGAATTCCAGTTGATATTTTACAAAGAGTAGAATAATGATATTTTGGGGGTAGGGGTCACCTTTTGGAAGTAAGCTATATATGGGCCCAAAATTTTCTTGATTTGGGTACTATATTTTTTCTATACTTGGATTATAATATGGGTATAATTGTGCTACTCTTTCCTGGATGGTTTGAGGACTTAATGAAAGTATATCCAGGACAATTCAATCCATTTCCCATTTACTAGCAAAGTAGCTTCAAAGGCATCTGGATTTCTAATTAAACTTATTTAAGTTCTGAAAGTTCAGCTACTTAAACTCTTTAAATTTCTTGAGGCCAGAATAATTTCAAACAGTATATCCCCTGTTGACTTCTAATGAAATAAAAATTGGACAAGATGAGGAATGAGACTGAGATGGTGAAGAATCTTCTGGATACTCTGGGAACTTGCTAAGAGAGCCTTGGTGAACTATGAATTACTCTCATCCTCTCCACAGGAGTTGTTGTGATCCCTCTTTTCCAGAAGATTCTCTGTAAAGCTTCTGTAGAACTTTATACCTCTAGCTTCAATTAAAGCAGGATTCATTTTGTTTTTGTGTTTGCGGTTTTCTTTGAAACTTTTTTCTTTGTTACAACCAGTCAGTTTTATACCTGCTGTTCTAGAATTCTCTTGAGCAGAAATAATGAGCTTAGATTAAGAGGCTGGCTATGTTTAAAGTATTTTGTTCTTTGATTAATTGAAGTAGTTTTCTCCCAGTGGTTTTATTGACTCTGTGTTGAGGAGAGACTATGCCTAAAAGATGTCAATTGATTTGCCCACTCAGTTCTCTCCAATAGTTCCCCATAAGGTAAGAGACTGTGATTTGTTTCTCAGGGAATATAACACTGCCTGGTGCTTGAGGCTGAAAGTTCTTGAATTATTAGTTTTATAGTAATCATCATACCAGAGATTGTCTCTCTCTAGTAAGGTGTTGTCTAAAGTGAATCCCGCTTGATCAACACCTGTCCTAGACAGTGATTAAGGGCAAATTCTATGTCATTTTGTTGTCACCAGCTATAACTAGTAGGACTTACAATGAATTCCACAAAGTCATGTGATAAAGGATTTAAGAAATGAATGTAATTGGGTGATTTTACAGGTCATCCGGAGAGGTCACAGATCTGTTGATCCTGCTGCCCAATACACATATACAGAGCCATGGTGAAATTAAGCCCTCCTCCTAGACACAGTACATTTGCATTCAAAAACAGGATACTCTCCCCTCATGCTCTTCTTACAGAGCAAGTGTGAGCATAGTTGTTGATTGAGGGACGGGTGGTCTACTTGGCACAGGTGGTCTGTGAGTAACTATGACAGTTGGCTGAGAGCTGCCCTGGGCCGTGAGACTGTGGGGCCTGTGGGTTGTTGTGGAGGAAAGCACTAATCCCATGGGAACCTCCTCTAGATGAGAAGTTGCGGGTCCTTGCTTCAGAGACATTTTCAGATGATTACGAAACGTGGAGGTGAGTTTTTGGCAGTCCAGTTTCTCTCCCAGAAGAGGTCAGTTAATGGGCTTCAGGAATACCCTCAAATTGCACATTAAATTTCGGTATGCACATTGTTTCATTATTTACAGTTTTTTTCAAATCCTTGAAGGAACTTAGAAACTTCTCATTTGAAATCATAGCTCTAGATCCAGAGGATCTTTGAAGAGTAATCTCTTTACTGGAAACCTTCTTAATTTAAAGTAAAACATTTTTTATCTTTAGGGATTATCTCTCTCTCTCTCTCTTTCTCTTTGTTTTGTGGTTAATGAAAATGTCTTAGTGATTTTTGCCAAAATTAAGTGTATTCTAAGGCATGTATCTTAACTACACAACTTAGCTCTTTTTGCTTATTATACAGATGTTTTTTCAAAGGTATTGTGCTGTTTGTTATCTGTTGTGTTCTTCATGAATTTTCACTGAATTCCTTGTTTTTTCTTATTCTAAAGGAGCCAGAGGTATCCTTTTTCTTCAAGGACAAGAGTTCTGTACTTACAGAATAATGTGCATGCCACTGGAGTGACGAGTGTAATTTGATATTGGGAAGACAATAAAGAAATGATCATTTGTCTTCTATACCTACTGGGATGGTGATGTTTGTTCTTGTAGGAAGTGATATGGTTTCTGTTTCCGTTGTTATTTGCTTATATGAAATGCTTTAAATTTTGTTCCTTAAGGTTTTTTTATTTTTTATTTTTTTTAGGGCTATCAGTTGATTGATAAATCCCAGTGGGTCTGCATAGATTTTGACTAGTTATTACTATAAAAAGTCTTCTTGATTGACTTATGATAAGAGTAAGTAGAGATTAAGTAGAGAATTGGTGGGTTGTATGTGTGTTGAATTGGATTTACACAATGAGAAATCTCTGGCCTAGAAATACTTGAAAATTTCCTAGCTCTTAAAGCTTAGAATACTTAATTGTCCCATCACAAATTAAAATTAAGTGTTTCCTTTTGGGGATTTTTGCCTGTTTGGTCCACTCCTTAACATTAGCTATTGAGGTTTTATATGTAGTATACTTCAAAATTACTGAGATTAGGATTTGGAGAGGACCATGTTTTAATAAGCTGATCACAATATCTAGCAGAGGCACATAGTACTCAATAAAGGTTTCCATAACTAAGTTATGGAAAACCTAGGGTATTTAAGTTAATTTAGCTGTATGTTTCTGTTGTCATAGGCCATTATATGAATTCAGATCTTTTTCTTACCCCTAAATTGAAACAACCGTTCCTTATACATTCAAGTAGATCTTCAAGTTTGAACTATCCTAACATTTATGACTGAAATTTTAATTTGTGGTGGTAACAAAAGGAATTATGGATTTTGACATCTCTGCAGAGGCAGCCCATTACTGCTGAAGGTTATTGTAGGTTAACATTTTTTTTTTTGAAATAAGGTGTAGATGAAATTGGAACTGAAGGACATTCATATTAATAAAATGCTGATATGCTCAGAGGATTTCAAGTTGCTGAAATCTGTGTAGTGGGATGATATGAAAGGTAGGATGTAGCCAGTTACATTGGCCCATACCTGGAATTACAGCACTTAGGAGGCTGAGCAAGGATTGTGACTTTGAGGCCAGCATGGGATACATAGACCCTGTCTCTTGAAAGCAAGCGAGCAAAAGAAAGCCAAAAAAAGAATGAAAAGTAGGTTGTGAGAATTGAAAAGGAATCTCAGTCCATGTTCTTATTTTAAAGATGTGGAAATAGACTTGAGGGTCACTCAGTTTTCTTTTTTTTACTCTTAAATGGAGACCTGTACTAGTAGTGCTTGTGATCAGGGAGATAAGTGAAGATAACTTCTGAGTCTTTCTGAAGACTTACATAAACCTAGGATATTTAAATCTGCGCAGATGGATTAGGACTATTTTTTTGTTTCTGTGTTCATAGAAAACTTGTGGTAGCACACCTTATAGAGAATTGGATCAGAGGGATCTTAGATTTTTCTCTGCTCTCCCAATCTCATTATGCGTTTGATGAGTGCTTATTGTGATTCTAGGTACTGTGTTAAGCATACTTCTTAGGAAGTCAAGACGGCTGCATACAGCTCTGCCACTTTACTAGCAAGTTACTTCGGTACTCTGTGCTTCAGCTTCTTCATCTGTAAAATAACTGCATCATAGAGTTATATTGAGGGTGGAATGAATATGTAGGAAATATTCAGTACTGTGCCTGGCATCTAATAAATGCTTAATAAAATACTAACATTCATTATTGCAAGTAAAGAAACTAATAGGTTAATTTTTCTTTCTACCTGTATTTTCTTTCTATTTCTGGGGGAAAAAAATCCACAATACTGACATCCTTCCTAAAATCTATGCCCCATGTGTTTATCTATGCCTGTCCCCACCCTGACTGTTGTGGTTAAGTATCGTGGCCAAATCATTCATAAAAAGCAGTTAGCTTTTTATGCTCACTGTCCGACAAACGGAATGCATGAGTGATAGCCAGATCCTTAGTGGTAAGGATCCTGCCTTTTAGTATGTCCCTCTGGCACTTAAAATCCTTGAATGTAAAGTTCGTATAGCCTTAGGGACGCAAATCCAATTTAACATGGTGTTACTGTTGTGCTCTTCTCTTTCCATTCCTTATAGCTTACTTATCACCTGGTGCGCCTTGTGTTTCTGTCATATTAAAATATGTGAAGTTCCCCAATTCCTTGATTGCCATGAACTTTGAACATGATGTTTCTTTTTCTTGAGATACTGGTTACCGGAATTCCAATACACACACACATACAGTGCCTTCTCTGCTCCTTGAGTACTTGATGCTTATTGCTTCTTCAGAATATACAACACATTGTGTTGTCAGTTAGTGTCCCCCAGTTAGACCCAATTAGACTGAGCCCCATGGGTCCACGAGATCAGAATCTGCTTTTATCTTTCTCCAGCAACTAGCCTGCCTGGGTTATAATAGGTACCCATAAATTAAGACTGAATGATGCAAAACATCTTTGGATAAGTTGACAGTTGAGTTAGATTATAGCAAGCTCATGTTTTTGAGAGATTTGACTTGATTATATTTCAAAAGAATGTGAATGAAGAATACATCAAGGTAGCACATTCACAAAGGCAAGTTTGCTAGCACCTCTAACGGCCTGGATTGTCAGAAACTGTAGGACTGATGAGTGGTTTTCAACTGTGTTTGTACCAATTCTTGGTAGGGCTAGAAAGCAAAAAGAACAAATGCTGAAACACTTTTTGTGAGACTGAAGGGTCTACAGCTTTGAGTTAAATGGACAAGTAAAAGTAGTTATCAGCTTCCCTTTCTGCTTTGTGGAGTTGTGGCACAGTCAGGACAGTCAGGAGGCAATAGGACAGAAAAACTAAAGGGGTATTAGAGGAGGAAGAGGAAGGCAGTGACAATATTGAATGTTTGTAATGTTGGCACACTAATCTCTGCTACCACTGTTAGTAGCTGTGTGATGTTAACTAAGTTACTTAATCTCTCTGACTCAGTTTTTCACCTATAAACTACAGATCTTGTTAGCCTACTCTCAACTACATCTGAAGTTCCTGCCTCTTGGTTGTAGTCTTTAAATGTGATCATGGTTTATAATAAGTGCCCAATAAATGTAAGCCACATTTTTGTCTTTTTATAGGTTGCAACAAGACAAATTGTGAGGTCACTGAGGATAGAGACCATACTTGCCTTTTTCACTATTTGTGTCTCTAGCACTTGGCACATAAATGGAAGTATTTAACAAATGTCGAGTTGAATTACCAAATGAGGATGAATAGAACAGTGTTTAGAGAACTGTGGAGAGTGTGGTGTTTTTCAAAACTATCTCTCATGTAAAACCACTTCCTTTCCACTTTTAGATGGTGGGCTTCTGAGTTTTCCCAGTATATCTTGTGCTATTTCCTTAGACTGTACTAAAGAAATAAGCATAAATCATTGCATTAATGGGTCTCCTATTAGGAAGGAGCTGATATTTTGTCAACATTTGAATCCCCAAAGAATGCCAGGAGGACATCCAAAAGTGAAGTTTCTATCTGAACATTTATTTCACAGTCATAGAAACTGAAGATGGAAAAGACCTGAGGGCATCTAGTCCATCCACATTGTTGTACAAGAAAAGTGGCTGGAGCAAAACAGCCCATTCACTTCATGCTCACAAGACAGCATTTCGGTTCTTCTCGGAGTGGAGCAATTGCAAACACATCAAAATGAAGACACAATGCAAATACTCTTCACAAACCTTAAGAAAATACTTAGTCCATTATTTTCATAAATGATTATTAACTTTTTAAAAAGAGTGTGAGAATACTAGATTGGATGGATGGCTTAGGTGGGTGAAGGAAGGCGTAACTAAATAGTGTACATAATGAAGTGGTTTTAATGACTAGAAAGCAATTTCTTCTGAAGACTGGTTGGATTTTCTGGTTTGCCTATCAAAATGAATTGGAAGGAAAAGAGGCTCTAAAGTAGTTCTTTTTCCTTCATTCTTTATTCACACCAAGGAAGTGCTTAACTTGCTCCAAGCCTCAAATTGACCCAGCACCAACACTGACAAGTGTTGATACAGCTCCATTCTGCATGGCTGTTGCTGTACTTACCACTTCTTGGGAGGGAAGGGAATCAGAACTTCTGTGTAGATTTTGTACAACAGCAAGATTCATGAGTGGAGAGTTACCTCCGAGCACAATAAAGACCTAGGTCTGTCTCACTCAGCTGGCCCAGACATTCTTCCAACTTGTTTTTATTTGTTGGAGGAGTCCCCTATCTCTTCTACATGTGGCATATGCACTGGGAGGCCCTGTTTGTTATTTACAAGAACGAAGTAGCTATGTCTGCTTACCCAGTCATATTTTGTGTGTTACCTGTGCCAGGAGTTGTCCCTTGGATAATGGAGTGTGGGACAGTTTGCCATATTCCAGGTTGCCCAGCCCCACAGCTTAGAAGAGAATGGAGGCCTTCCTGATCTCATGAAATGGAAGTGCATGAGAGAAGGCAAGGTAGTGTCTTTTAGCTCTTTATAAGTTACCAAAACACAGCTCTCCACCTGAAGATCCATCTTTTTGTTGTTTTGAGCCGAAGGGGGTAGTTGAGAGAACAGAGGTGGAGCAGAACAGAAAGGAGGTTTTGAAGGACCCATCCTTTCATGAAATCTTTTTACAAAACACAGCACACTGTTTCACAAATTGCAAAACACTGTTCAATTACTACCATTAAAAAAAATAGTGCTATTTAACATGAAGACTGCTTCATTTCACCACAAGCAATTATGGTTTTTCTTTATCCAGGACATGGAAACATTTCAAGCAATGTTGACAGCAGTAAGGCTGCCCTTACCTCCTGCTGCTGCTTGCTGTATCCTGGCCACAATTTTGGTCAGGTGGTTCCTCAGAAGATAAGAGGAGTGTTCACTGGTCAGCCGTTCTGGAGAGAGAGGGTGGTCTGGAATGTGATCACCACTGCTCAAAAATGCCTCAGTAGATAGAGAAGCTTAAGGTAAACCCAATATACAAAAATCCAAACTTACAAAACAGATACATTAAGGGATAATTAATTGCATTACAAAAGGGTTTTTTACAAAAGAATTCACCTCTAGGTTCCCTTAAATCGTCAGCTTCTCAAGTACAGTTAGAATATGAGTTTAGTTACAAAAATGTCCATGTACAGCAGGAGCATGGCTGTTATGTGAATTGAGGTACACCTGTACACCAGCCTTGCAGGTTGTGCAGACATCCTGGGTGCTCAGAGCATGGTGGCAGAATCTCCAGGGCATCCTCAGTTGCAGATGGGTGGGAATGGCTAAATGGTATAATCTTCCAAAGGCAGCTGCAAACTTACTTTGGGTCCTGGGGTGAGAATATCTGTGTATTGGGTATTTCAAAGCAATTGTCCTTTTCTGTTTTCAGGGCTCACTTGTTTCCTGGTTGAACTGTTTCATCTGTAAGGTTGATGAAGTCTAATTTTAGAGCCCTTCTCCCTCCCTTATCTCTTGAGTTATCTGCACTTCCAGTTTTTCTCAACAAACTAATCATTAAGATGTTAACTAATCACAGCTTTAACATGCTATCTTTGGGAGGTCTAGGAGGGGGTTTCTTAGTAGGTTTTGGTGGAAATGTAGATATTATATCCAAAAGTAGGGAGAGAAATACTGTGATTGAGACACGTTCCTGATAGTCTGCATACTGGTTGGCACAGTCTGAGCTCATCGTGGACATTCACAATGACAGGTAGAGAAGGGAGTACTGGGAAGATGAAGCAGTAATTGATTAATTGGGAAGTTTACATGGTGTCGTGGGGTCAAGGTGGGAGTCTGGAAGGGGAATCAGCCAATGGGTGCTGAAGTTAAAGAGGAAAACTCACTTCATATCACAAATTGCAGGAGCAGTATTTCTCCAAAAGTAATTTTAGAACCCTGTATGGGTTCTAGGGGTGTTGGTTAACACTAGGTTGCTGAACTCACTTCAGACCCTTGCCTTGCCTTCAAAATCTCTGGGGGAAGGACCCTGATAACCAGCACTTGGATGAGTTCCTTAGATGATTCTTTGTTTGGTTTTTGTTTTTTGGTGGTACCAGGGTTTGAACTCAGGGCCTGTGTGTGCTAGGCAAGTGTTCTACCACTTAATCCACACTCCCGGCCCCCTTAAGTGATTCTGATTTGTGCTAACATTTGGGAACTGAAGTTCTAGAGTTCTAATTTTTTTTTTCCTTTCTAGAAACCCACACAGTTGCATGCAGGGAAAAGAATGCCTAGTCAGAGGGGAAGCTAGGTTACTTACATAAGTTTTTTCAGAGTGACCTGGAGAATAATCAGGGACCAAAACCTGTTCATAGCTCCTCAGAGATGAGTGGGTGAGGGTGTGAGGATGGTAGATTGACCTGGTGATTGTCTGTATTGATATACCAAGCACAGGCAGCTCCTGAATGTTGAAGCTTGTGATGTTTATGTGCCCAGCTTCGCTTTTGGAGTTCCTAGGGCTCAGAAATAGGTGTCTACTGCTCTGATAATGGCCTTCTTTTTTGTGTGCAGAACATTGCACTTACCCTACAGTGCCAGCTCATGAACCCTGTTAAAGGCAATAAGCAGGGGTATTCTAGGTTCATCCCAAAGCCAGGTCTTGCTTTATTTTCTTTTGTTTCCTTTATAAAAGGCACACACTATCATAGAGATGCTCAGTTATATTAGAAGTATAGTCCAATTCATGCCTTATTATCTTTGTGGCTCAGAGCTTTTGTTCTAAAAGCACAGTGTGCATTTTTAATGCCTCTTCTGCCTGTCCTCTCTTCCCACTCACCACATCCCTATCCCCTTTCATAGTGGCATGTAAACGTGTTCCTATTAAATGTTAGTCATGATGGGGTTAGTGACCCAAAGTCTTCTCAAGAATATGGCTCTTGCCTGGTGCAGTCAATCCTTGCCTGCAGTGATTCCGAATCATTAAATTTTAAGTATCCAATGTCCCCCAGGTTTTACCTGCTCCCTGTTCAGAATGTAGGTAAAACTCTAGATTGGGAAGTTGTTCAGATCTTACAACCATGGATAATCCTGGTCCAAAATAAGATTAATAACCAACCCAGTAAGACACAGGTATAACTGACAATTTTTATCTCTTGGTGAAGTGCAGAGAATGGGTTAAAACCCAGAAATTTTTTTGTGACACCAGGTGAAAAGGTAACAGGAGCTGGGGTTGTCTGGTTGTTCACAGATCTCTTGCATGGAGTTTCCTCTTGACTAACCTCAGACTCCTGCTTTGGAAAGATTCCTACCCTGGAAACCTAGGGAGTGAACAAGCTTGGGAAGAGCTGCTGCTGCACGTTAGGTTGGGGAGAGCAAACTTGACCTCTAGAATACCTAGACCTCAGCCTCTCCACACCTTTGTCATTCATTACAAAAGAGCATTATAAAATGTCTCAAGGGCTCAGCAATGCCAGGCTGAGAAAGGGGAACAGCGTGATTGTCTACGACTCACAAGTCCGATTTGTCCTTTGATACTCCTCCAGCTCTGTTTTCCTGCTCACAGCCAACTGCAGCTCCTGGCGGATCACCTGAATCTGCTTCTCGAGCTCTGAGAGTTCTTGCATCACTGAGTTCCGAGCTACATTGAGGGGGTCTGCTTTCCCATTGGTGGCCAGCAAAGCAGGGAGCTCTCTTCTCCTTAGGGGCAGAGGGATGTCTTGGTGGGTCGTCTGCATACCCAGTTGGTTTTGTCCTCCCTCATCACTAAAGATGTATTTTTGTTGGTTGTCATGACTCAGATTGGAAGTATTCCACACCATGAGCTGACGGGGTCCCACATTGGACCTAGAAAATAAATAATTCAGATTGATTTGTCTTCTATTGTACATTCCATCTGTTGGTCATTTCCTGCCTGAACAATAAGGAGATAGGTAGGGACCAACTTAAGTCTTAACAAATCTTTAGTACTTGATTTTGGAGATAAATGCATCTAAGCCACAGGTTTCAGTGAAGTGTTTCTCACTATAGGGATGACTTTATGTGGGTTGACAATGACAGGTCAAGTTTGAAAAAAATACAATCCCCTCAACCAAGAAAGCCCCTACATAGGTTCTTGCTGGGATTATGGGGAGTCAAATAGAAATAGATGTGCCATTCTTTCAGGCTTGCATAGTACCATCTACTACCACTGTGGAGAAGTGGCTGTAGAAAGTGCTAGATAGGCACAGGAATGAGGTTTTTTTTTTTTTTTGGGAGGCTTAAACAATGGAAATTTATTTTCTCACAACTCTAGAGGCTGGAAGTCCAAGATCAAGGTTTTGGCAGGGTGGGTTTCTTCTGAGGCCTCTCTCCTCGGCTAGCAGATAGCCACCTCCTCACTGTGTCCTCACAGGGTCTTTCCTTGGTGTTTGTGTGCATTTGTGTTCATGTCTCATCTTTTTTTTTTTATTGTTTTATTCATATGTGTGTACAAGGCTTGGGTCATTTCTCCCCCCTGCCCCCACCCCCTCCCTTACCACCTACTCCGCCCCCTCCCTCTCCCCCCCATCCCCTCAATACCCGGCAGAAACTATTTTGCCCTTATCTCTAATTTTGTTGAAGAGAGAGTATAAGCAATAATAGGAAGGAACAAGTGTTCCTGGTTGAGATAAGGATAGCTATACAGGGAGTTGACTCATTAATTTCCTGTGCATGTGTGTTACCTTCTAGGTTAATTCTTTTTGATCTAACCTGTTCTCTAGTTCCTGGTCCCCTTTTCCTGTTGGCCTCAGTTGCTTTTAAGGTATCTGCTTTAGTTTCTCTGTGTTAAGGGCAACAAATGCTAGCTAATTTTTTAGGTGTTTTACCTATCCTCACCCCTCCCTTGTGCGCTCTTGCTTTTATCATGTGCTCCAAGTCCAATCCCCTTGTTGTGTTTGGCCTTGATCTAATGTCCACATATGAGAGAGAATATACGATTTTTGGTCTTTTGGGCCAGGCTAAGGAATGAGGTATTCTTGTTTCTGAAATACACTTTGAGAACTAAATGCAATGAGAAGAGCCATGAGAGGAAGGAGGAGGATTATGATGACCTTTGCAATTTACCACAGGGCAAAACAATAGAAAAACCCTCTTTAATCCTTGTGTTTTTGTTCCCATTCACAGAACTGAATCAACTTTATTGCTCACTCTTACTTGTTCAGGAGAGAAGGGGAGACTGCAGGGGAAGGACAAGAGAAGGGATAATGAAATCTTGATGCAGTACATGGTTGAGAACAAAAACACAAGGACTTAGTAGGATGATTCTATTTCTCTGTGCCCAGTGATGCATTGCGAAAGTGGTCCATTGCTTCCTTCTTTTTATCCATTCACCTCTATAATGTGACTGCCACTCATCCCTATCAGGGATGCCTATCCTCTTTCTTGAATGAGGACTGGTCTTATAATTGTTTTTGGCCAGTAGAAAGGGTGGTGCTTTGAAGCCTAAGCTTTTAAGAAGGCTTGCATGCTGCCACTCTAAGCCCGTTCTCACCACAATGTGAACAAGTTTACATTAGCCTGTTGGAGGGTGAGACCATGTGAAGAGAGTCCTCAGGCCTATTAGGTGATTCAGCTGAAGCCAATCATAGATCTCACCTTTAGCTGCTTTCCCTTTCCCCCCGAAACTGACTGCAGACATGAGCAAGCCTACTCAAAATCAACCAAGTCTGGCTTAGATCAGCAAACTGCACAGCTGACCTACAGATTAGTAAGTAAATCTCTGTTGTTGAAAACATTAAGTATTGGGATGATTTCTCACACAGCAAAACCAACTAAAGCATGCCCCAGAGCCATTAGAACACCCAAACAATGCTCCAAACTACCCCCATGGTTCTCCAATATTTCTCTTGGTTCAATATCATATAAATGAGCGAAGGGCACGAAAGCTCAGTTTTCCTATGACCTGAGCTGAGTGAAAGCTCTATAATTAACTTACTTATAACTAACTGCTCCACTGAGAGGGAGAAGATACAGTTTCAATTGTTTTTCTAGCCTTGTAGTCTCTTTAATGTTTTACAGTGAATAAATCAAGAACTATACACAAAGTCTTTTGCAATCTCCACTATTTTCTCCACATTAAGTTAAAAAAGGAGCAACATCTGCCTCTGTACTGTAGCCCCAAATTTCACCAAGACTTTCCTCAAGCTCATATGTTAATAATTCATTTAGTCTTTCATTCATTCAATACATGTGCAGCATAGAGGAGGAGGCCAAGCTGTAGCAGGCACAGGTATTTGCATATTCTTCTAAGAGGGAGAGAGCATTTTCAAGCCAGCAAATGTAACTCTTGTGCCATAGAATGATCGATAGTGGGAAAAACCTGGGAGTAGAGCATCTAAACATTTTCTTGGACCGTCTAGGCAACCATATTGATCAGGTAAATAGAGACAGACGGTCTGGTTATCCAGAGCTTTGAATATCTGGGAATATAACATAGAAGAATAAGCAAAAGCTGGACTGTCTTGTGACAAACTCTAGTTGCTATTATAATCTGATAATCGAGGTGTGGTTCGGGCCACCTATGGATGCAAGGTGACAGATGCTAAATGTAAAATACAGTGTCTAATTGGGAGGAATGAGTGTGTTCTACTGGCCTTAGTAATTTTTGGTTGTGTTTTGTATAAGACTTCCTCAGTCTTAGGACTATATTAACACGACCAGTGAGTGAGAAGTATTTAACACTTAAAAATGAACAAAACTGGCTTCTATGGAGCAATTGTGTAACACTGAAGAGACACGATGCTGTAGTACCTCAAACTGATTGTGTTTGTCAGGTTGCAGGTGTTAGGTTGTGGGGAGGTAGACACTGAAAATGTGGGCCCAAGACACTCACACTTATCATTCATAGCAAGAAAAGGGGACGGGCAATATGATTCTTTTTCATGGCTTATATCTCCTCTGAGGCTGCTGCAGTTCCTTCTACCCAGGTTACATCTAGCTTGTCAGAATCATTGCCATTGTCTCTAAGACTCTTTCTAGTCACAGATTCCTCCCCTCACCCCTTCTCAGTATGTTGTGTCCCATGTCACAGTGCAAGTCTCTTAGTGACAAGTCATAGACTGATAGGTTGTAGCCACAAGGACATGTTCTGTCTTAGCTCCTCAAAATAAGGAGTTCAGGAAGTGAATTTGGCAAGAGAAGGGTAAGTTGAGTAAACACATTCAGCTCTCAGTTGAAGTGATATAGATGTAAATAAGAATTATGCCACTATTGGAATCACTGGGCTTCCTGCTTCTATTATTACTGGAAAATAATGTTTTGTCATAGTAAGACAAATCTTTGCTACTATGTCTTCTTGTGTCCCTCTGTTAAAATTTTATGTTAAAAATAATTATAAAAAAATCTCTGTAATATGACATGGAACACCTGTGACCTGATTAGTCTGTGCCTTGTCACCGACAGACTTGCACTGTGGCATGGGACACCACAGACAGAGAGTATGGGGGGAGAGCTCTGTGACTAGAAAGAGACACTTTAAGAGACAATGGGAATGATTCTGACAAGCTAGCTGCAACTTGGGGAGAAGGGATTGCAGCAGCTGCAGAGGAGATAAAAACCACGAAAAAGAATCATGGTGTCTGCCCCATTTTTCTTGTGTTATGAATGAGAGGTGTGATTGTTAGATTTCAAAACTACTCAGCCCCTAGAGGTTATGAAAATTACAATGAATGCCAATGAAATCTAGAATATCATGGGGAGCACTTTGAAAACTTATATTGTAACTGAAAAATTCAGAAATAGAAATTTTCTTGATGTATTTGACCTACTAAAATTGAACTAAGAGGATATAAACCACTTAAAAACCTATAACAAGCAATGAGATCGAAGCAGTTATAGTCTGTCAACAACAAAGAGGCCAGGACAAAATGGATTCACTTTCAAATTCAACTAGACCTCATTACCTGCATTGTCTTCCTTATTTCATTCAACTGTTTATTTGAATTCTTTTTGAGTTCATTCAGCTGTTTATTTGTATCCTCTTTGAATTTATTTAGGTACTTATACTTGCCCTTTTTAGTTTTGTTGATCATTCTTACCATTTTTTTTCATTATTTTAAATTTCATCTGCTTCACTATCATCCAAGTCCTTTGTTGTGGAATTATTGACTTTTGGAGGAGATACATTGCCTAGTTTTGTTTCATAGTACTTGTATTTCTACACCGACATTTATGCATCTGAAGCCAAGTCATTGGTTGGAAGTTCTAATCACTTGTCTTTCAGTTAAAATAGTTTCAGTGTTCAGGCAGGACAGTGTAGTGACCAGGCTGAAGTGCTATTTCTTATCTTACCACTGGAACTGGGTGATATAGTTCAGTAGCCAAGCACTCATTCACATTCTCAGAATTCTGGGCCTGATTCCTGGCTTGGCTAAGATCAAGGTAAGCTAGCTGGAGTTTCTTGTAGAGTGGCCGGTTGTTCACTTTTGGGCTGTTTTCACTACAGAAGCTTCTTTTCTTTTTGTATTGGGGGCTGCTGTGGACTGCAGGGAGCTTTACAGCCTGTGGGATGAGCAGGTCCCACTTGTTCCACATACCCTCCTAGTTTGCATCTCCAGAGTCAGCAAGAGTCCAAGCCTCAGGGTGACCCTGAATGCATCAGAGAGTAGGGAGAGTAAACAGAGCATTGATTCTGCACTGTTAGGGGGAATGGGTGGGGAGAGGAGAACTGAGGAACCTAATATTTCTGCCTGCTAGTCTCAATGCTTACAGACCCTGTCCAGCAGTTCATCTCTCTGTAGGAAGGAGGAGGTTGTGGAAGCTTCATGACTCTGGGTCCTTCAGTCCTGACTGCCAGCACACGCACATAGGGATGCAGTTCCCAGGATTGGGTTTCTGTGATTTCAGGCCCTGCCTGACAGTTCACCTCTATGGGGATTGGGGAGAGGAGACTGGATGTGATTTGGAGGGTCTGGGCCCAAGGCTCTGACCAACATAGCAGTCAATGCAGACAGCCAGGGGGCTGTTCATCAGAAATTGTTCTGGTTTGATCTGAGTAGTTATTTAAGTATGCAGTTTCAGTCTCAGTCTAAACTTTTATTTTAGCAAGTACAAAGACAGCTAGTATTGGTTTCTTCTTACCTCTTTTCCACACGTTTGGTCTTGAAACGCTGCTGCTTTTCCTCTACAAATGATGTGTTTAATGCTCTATGCAGTCTCTGGTAGAAAGAACAGATTGCCAGGTAGAGATTATTAGAAACACATGGGGCAGGGGACAAAGTACTGCCTTGAGATTTAATGGAGTATCTAGTTGCTACCAACCTTGGTGTCTTCAACAAAATTTCGAGGTATGCTTGAAAATAGATCAATATTCAGCCCCAAATCCCAAGATGACAAGAATTATAATTATAGATTATTATTCTTCCTGGAGAAAAGAATAGTGATTTCATAGAAAGCTTATAAATGCTTTGGATTTAAAATGGTATAAGACACCTTCTGACTACATTTTGGCTCTCTATGACAATTTCCTATAGGGAGAGATGTGCAAACAAGTGTGCCTGAATGGTCAGTCTGTCAACAGTTTCAGTTGTGTGTTGGTGTGTGGCTTATATGAAAGAATTGTGGTCCCGTGAACCTTGATTCTGGTGCTTTGAAAATCTGGACCGGAGAAGAACAGACAGACCAGGGGCAAATGGAGTCACCTTAAGAAACTTCAAATTCATTTCATGGGTTTCAATTTTGGCAAGAAAAGAATCTGTGGGAAACAAATTTTTCATACCATCTCTGATTATGAAATCTGTTTAAAAAACAGTCCTATTGCTTCTATTATGAGCAGTAGTGGAGTATTATAGGAAAGGTAGGAACACTGTGACATACTTTAATTTTTGAGGAAGGTGAATTAATGGACTAGAGGGAGCGCCATCTTCTAATTCAGAGTGCTACACCACCCTCATTCTCTTGATAACTTGCTGTTTGTCAGTCAGACTTTTGGCTCTGGATCCTCCCATCACTGGGAATCCTGAAGTGTGAGAACACAGGAGCAAGAGACCTGCGGCACTCACCTGACTGGTATGTAGCCAGTATTGAAGCTTGGATTTGTTTTTGATTCGTGGTAGCAACAGCCTATACACGATGTGCTCACCAATGGTTGTCAAGATGGATAGGCCAAATCCAATGCACAGCAGCACGAAAAGTCCAGAGAAATGTTTGATGCCCATTTGCAAAGTCTGTGACAAAAGAAGAAAGAGCGTGCTTATTTCCTTCTTTTTTTTTTTTTTTTTTTACTTTTCCAGAATTCTGGGTTTGAACTTATTTGCCTCATGCTTGCTAGGCAAATGCTCTTTGACTTGAGCCATATCCCTAGCTCTTTTTATTTTTTTTTATCCTCTTACTTATGCCTCTGCACAGCTGTGATGACAGGTGTGTGCCACCACACACAACTTTATTGGTTGATATGGAGTCTTAACTTTTTGTTTGGGCTGGCCTTAAACATCAATCCTCCCAATTTCCACATCCTGAGTAGCTTTTTTTTTATTTTTTAAGACTCAGATTCCTTTTTCTTCCCAATCCAAAGAAAGCTGGAGACTATTTGTCCCTGTGTTCTCAGTGAACTTCACTGTACTTCACTTCAGTGTACTTCACTGTACTTCACTTCAGTGTACTGTGAAGGAATCAGCCAGGGCAGGACTGAAGGTTGCCTCAGAGCACAATCTCGAGGGTGCTGTTCACATATTAATGTCACTGCAGGAGTAATCGCTGGAATTGTGCCATGGCCCTGGGTCTGGACCATCTAGTATATTAGAGACCAAGTGAGACAGAGACAAAGAATTGAAATGATTTAATATGTTAAAACATTGAATAACTATGAAGGAAAGAACCTCTCCCAGGGACAGATAGTGAGTGAATTTAAGGGGAAAAGATGATGAGGTCAGTAATTTTGGAATTTAGATCTGGAGGGAATGTGGAGATCACCCTAATTCAATGCCTTCGTTTATAGATGAGGAAATAGACAAAAGAAGTATAGTAAGTTGAGCCATGCCACAAAGCTAGGCAGCCATAGAGAAGAAAGTGAAGGAACTTAATACATTGACATCATCAGGGCTGGAGGTGTGGCTAAAGAGACAGAGTGCCTGCCTAGCAAGCATGATACGCTTAGTTCAAACCCTAGCACTACCAAACCTACTAACATTCAGCAAAGCACTAAGTAGATGGGCATTTCTTTCCTTTTCTTTTTCTTTTCTTTTTTTGGCAGTACTATGAGTTGAATTTAAGGACTTGTGCTTGCTAGGCAGGGGCTCTACCACTTGGGCCACTTCACGGGTCCTTTATGTGTTGGTTATTTTTGAGGTAGGGTCTTACTTATGCTTGGGTCTCCTGGACTGTGATCCTGCTATTTGCGTTTCCCCACATAGCTAGGATGACAGGCATGTGCCACTGTGCCCAGCCATTGGTTGAGATTGAGATCTCTCCAACCTTTTGCTGGGCTGGTCTAGAACTTTGATTCTCCTCATCTCAGCCTCCCAAGTAGCTAGGATTACAGGCTTGAGCCACTATGCCTAGTTAGGGCATTATTTTCTTATATAACACTGTCAAGATGAGAAAGAAAAATAAAACTTAGGGTGAGTTATCTTGCTTTAAAACTCATGACTTCTCCCTCTGTTTTCTTGTCCATAAAAATAGTCTCATTTTCCTCTTATTACCTCAATAAAAAGTAGGCTGTATTAAACTTACACATTTTTCTCTTTAAAGTTCTGTTGCTTATACCACATACTAATAGACTAATAGAAGTAGTTATATTTACTTTTAAATTAGGCATTTAATATGCATGCCAGACACCATATAAGATCATAGATGCTATTATGATCTCATAATAATCTTGTAAATTAAGTATTATTATCCTTGTTTTATATTTGAGGGAGTGGATGCTCATAAAGATTAATCACATTACCCAAGATCAGGCAAGCTAATATGTGGGGGGAACCAGGCTGTGGAGGCAGGCCTGTGTGATGTCTAAGCCTGCACGTCCTCTCAAGCAAACACCATCTGCAGGTATCCCTTGCTGTCTGGATTTCACCTGTCTATTCACTATAGCATCTTGCAAAAATTTTTATTCACAAACTCAGCATCTGAATCAAAAATCCACTATAATCTGCCTGTGAGCACCACACAAAATGTTTAAGTTATGTCTGAGTTTGAGTGATAAGATGTACAGCTGACATAACTCAGTCCTTCTCCCCCAGGATCGTGTTCTTTAACTGTTTTATGCGTTAGATATACACATCTACTCCATATCCTCAAGTGAATACTTTTAGTCTAACCAAGCGGAACTTTAAAATTCATCATAGGTTAGAGGAAGAGGAGGAGAAATGATTGGTCAGTGTCAAATCTTGAAAATATATTTAGGTTAGGCAGACAAAATGATAACTGCAGTTGCAAATGACATAAATAAAGAACATTCAAAAATAGGATAAGCCAGTCTCATGTTGTTGAGAGCCTTTTAAATGAGAGTAAAAGAATGCAAACAAAAACACATTTTGAGTTTTTTTTTTTTTTTTTTTGGTCATTCCATTGTTTTACTTGCAGTTTCACTTGGTAGCTCACAGCTTCACACTTCTGGAGTCTCAAGGAGAGAAAATTGTTCCAGGATTTAGCTATGGACAAACCTTAACCATTAGGGCTTCACTTAGTCCTTCAAAGTTTCCTCCAGGAACAGGAGGGCTGAATACATCTTCTCTGGGAGGGGGGTTCAGTGGGAGAGGGGAGAAGGTGGGGAAAGAGTGTGGGAGGATGAAAACGGTGCAAAAACTGTGTAACATGTATGTAAATGCAAAAATGAGACCTGTTGTAACTATTCCAGGAGTGGGGGAGGTGGATAAAGGAGAATGATGGAGGGGGTGTATTCAAGTATATTTGTTATATTGTAAGAACTTTTGTAAATGCCATAATGTACCCCCAGCACAACAATAAAAAAAAAAAGTCTTCTTCCAGCAACCCAGTCTCGCTTAGGCAATTCTCTGATCAGTAAGTAACCATTTAAAAATTGCCTTGCTTAATTATTTTTCTAAATACTATTTATACTCATTATGTTTAACATTTTTGTTAGTTTAATTTACATTAATATGTGTTGCATGTGGGAGAAAAACAGTTTGTATCAGATACTGTACTGTGCATGCTGCACTCAGGAATACCCATGAAATATGGCATTTAAAATGCTTTATATTCTGTGGATCATTACACAGAACAATCCAGGCATTGTGCATTAGGTATTAATGCCTATAGATGTCTAACAGTATTTTAGTGGTATTTAAGAAAACTGGTTGCAGTTTTTGAATGAGGCGGGAATAGTTTATTATTTTTCCATAAAAAAATAATGAAAATCCCTCCATCTGGAAATTCACTGGCCAACACATTTCTAGGAACAGATTAGATTCAAATAAAGAGAGATGCTTGTGCTATCAAATGTGTGGCTTCTGCCCAGACCATCAATGCTTCTAGTAAAATGTAGAGGCCAACATCTCCAATTTTATTGTTGCCCAAACCTTGCTTTGCATCTTTCTCAGATGTGGATACTTCAAACATTCGATAGCTGGCTGGATAAGTGAATGGTTCTCAAGCCTCCAGCAAGAAATGCAGTTAAAGCATTTCACTCATTTGCCTTAGATGTTATGAAGCAAATCCTATGCAATTAATCTTCTGTTCTTCCCAATACACACCCCCAACACATAGCAACCATTCCATTTCTTTGGTTGTCTACACAGTGGTCTATATTCATTACTTCCAATTCTTCTCATTCTCTCTTTGACCAACTCTAATCAGACTTTTGTTGGCCCCCTACTCCAATCACCTATCAAACAACACCTGTCAGTTGTCAAATTGCCAAATCCAGTGGCTAATTTTTTATTTTTGTGTATCCACAGTTTGGACACGGTTGACGTCACTTCATCCTCTTTGGTATATTCTCTTCAGCTTGTTTTAGAATACCTCTCTCCCTTTGCTCCACCTCAATCTCTGTTGCTGTTCCTGTTCTTCTTTCTGGTATGCTTTCAATTCTTTGCTATACTCATTTTCTCATATAGATGTATGACTTTAAATTCCACCTATTTTCCAGTGGCTCCCTGAAATTGGGAACTTTTATTTCCCAACTCTCTACTCAGCCTCTCTACTAATAGTAGAGAGTATCTAATAGTCCTCTCATACTTAACACAAAGAGGGAAACTCCTAATTTTCTCCCTGAAACCTCCTCACATAGTCTTTCTCATAACAATGAAATCCCATCTTTGCAATTGCTCAGGCAAAAACTGTAGAGTCATCTTTGATTCATCTTTCTTTAGCATTCTACACTTTGTGTGTCCTATTACTTTTCTGCAGAGGGAAATGACTACAAGAACCCAAGACAGTCATTTTATTTTTCAGTGACTAGTATATTAAACTTTGTACAATCTCCTCTCTGAGTTAAAAAAACTATTTCTAATGAAGAGATAAAGGGGTGATTGAGGCATAATGATTTTAGTCACAGGTAAAGAAAGTAATGACTTTTGACACTTGGAAACAGGAAAAGTAAGACTCAAATGCTGTTTCCAATATTGAAGACATTTTTTCCCCTTTTGTTTTCCCTTGAAGAGTGGTAACTCAGAATTTTCAGATTCACTATTGAGCTTATACATATGGCCTGTGGGCTCCAGAAGTACCAAGACAGTTTCCAGAGGAGAAGCATTTGCCTCACTGAAGAGGAGAGGATGGGGTAAGATTGTGCGATATTATCATTTGATTTTGCAAAAATGTAAAAAAGCGAGGAAGAGGTTCATTCAGAAAATTGGGAATTGTTTCATTGGCCATGACAGAGTGAAGGATCACACATAGCAAAGGAAAGAGATGACTTACAAAATCCGGGAGACAGTGCATGAGCCCACGTTAGCAGTACTTACATTTGGATAAGTAGATGCGTTCAGACAGCAATTAAGGGCTGTCAGAGGTTCCCGTCAATTCCAGCCCTGGATGCTGGGTCAACTCTGCTTTCCTTCATCTAGAAATTGTTTAGTGGCACATTAATGTGGACTGCCTAGGTTGCTGAGATGTCTCCCAGCTCCAGTTCTCCAGGTTCCTCAAGCTTTCTAAACTTGGAATTGTCTTCTGTGCTTGTAACTGATACTTCCTTTGCTGCATTAGCTCCATTGTGCACATTTGAAAATTTCAGATTATTATTAAAACAGCTCAGAAAAATATTTTT